AGAACACGTTCGATGGGTTGAAATGTTTGCTGATCGTCATCGAGTTCTTGGAAGGAGGAGATTTGCTGTCCCAATTCGAAGGCCAGGGGAGCAAGCCGTATTCGGAGAAGAGTGAGTTTTAGAAAAGCTTTTTTCTACTCTTCGCTTTCCCTCACTCTCTTCTCTCTCTCTCTCTCTCTCTCTCTCTTTCTCTCTCTCTTTCTCTCTCTCTCTTTCTCTCTTTCTCTCTCACCATCTCTTTCCTAATAACCCAAAAAACATGTCCCCATTATCAAATTATCTACCGTTTTCCGCTCTTGTTTACCGAGTCCCTCAGCCTTCAGGCCAAGTTTCCGGACTTTGCCCCCTAACGGCCTCGTGGGTTACACTGTTATTAGGGACGCCACGGAGTTGCCAAGTCCCAGCCAGAAAAAAAGAACGTCTGGGATGGGGGCACCAAGAAGATAAGCCCATTGTTCCAAGCCTTTAGAGCCGGTGGCTGAACTCCTACGCTTGATAAAGAGAACGGAAAGAAGAATCTGAACGCTAAAAATAGCTTGAAAAAATCGAGAGAGAGAGATAGAGAGAGAGAGAGAGAGAGAGAGAGAGAGTGAGAGAGCTAGAGAAAGAGAGAGAAAAGAGAGAGACACCCGGAAACTTTGAACTCCCAGGTTTTGATGTTGTTGGGGACAAAGTCCAAAATCTCGGGACTAGCAATAAGAGTCAGAGGGGGGAAGCCTGATAAATATGAGACACCTGTCCCCGTGGCTGGAGCCGCGTAAATAATATTACGAGACATGGCAACGATGACCGCTTAAACTCAGAAAAATGGCTTGTTGAGCTCAAGCTCAGCCTTGGATTTGAAGCCGTAAAGCTTGGGCTCAGAATCAGGTTAAATTGAAGGAGAACGAGAAAAGGAGAAACAGAAACAGAAATAATTCTAAAAATTGTTCCAGAAATCGCCGAAATCCTCCGTCAAATCGGCAGCGCCGTCCAGTTCCTCCACGACATGAACATTGCCCACCGCGACATTAAGCTGGAGAACATTTTGTGCAGGTTGGCCAGCATTTTTAAGACTAACAAGTTATTGTAAATTAGTTACGAATAAAATTTAAGTGAAGCCAGATTTCTGTATGAATCACGCCACTTAATTCCGGGTTTTAAGCTCAACGGGCCCGGATTGCGTCTACAAACTCGGTGACTACGGGTTCGCCAAGCGGCCGGAACGTAATGTCCTGATGGAGTCGCCGTGCTGTACGCCGTATTATGCGTACGTTACTTTTCGTTATTAAAGGTATACCTTAAAGAAGTCTTGTAGAAGTTGGTAGCCATTATAATCCTCTAAGAAAGTTTAAAAAGCCGTTGAACAACATTTTTTGCAGTCCTCCCGAAGTGCTCGGACGGGAGCGGTACGACAAGTCGTGCGACATGTGGTCTCTTGGTGTTGCTATGTACATATTGTAGGTTAATTCAAACCTCAAATTTGGTATTAGGTTATAGGTATTGAAGTTCATTATTGACACATTTAAGTAATAGATAAATTAAATTAAAATAATAGATTTAAATGCCCGCTTCCAGGCTCTGCGGGTACCCTCCATTCTACTCCATGGCCGGACTGGCGTTGTCGCCCGGAATGAGATCCCGAATTGCCAAGGGCTACTACGCATTCCCGCATGAAGAATGGGACCCGGTTTCGGAATCGAGTAAGCTAGAGAGAGAGAGAGAGAGAGAGAGAGAGAGAGAGCGAGAAAGAGAGAGCACAAGCTTGCGAGAGAAAGAGGTCTATTAAAAAGTATACCATGCTTTTCCAGCCAAATCCATCATCCGAACGCTCCTCAAGACGAATCCCGCCGAACGTCTCACCATCCACCAGTTGATGAGGAGCACGCTGGTGAGCGGCGACACCGAGCGGGCCACCCCGATACCGATTCGAGGCTCTGAGGTTTGTAGATCTCTCTACCGCTCACTCTCTCTCTCTCTCTCTCTCTCGCTCTCTTCTTTAATACAACCTCTTTGCAGGACGAGGGCTCCTCCAGCGACTCGTATCATGAAGAGGAAGACTTTGACGTCACCTCAAACATCCCCGACATGCCGCGCTCGGTCCGATTCCTGCGCGACGGCGTCAAGGCGCCGCGACTTCACAGTATCCAGGTAAGAAGGCTAAGCTTAAGCCCATCTAGGCTTTCTGACCTCTAAACACCGATCTTTCCAGGAAGAAGTCGGGCGAGCCCTGGATGCGATGCGCCTCGGTGGCGACCTCGTCTACGTGAAGCCGCCAAAGCTCCAGTGCACCTCCCTGCTGGCCAGGAGGCGCAGTAACCAATCCATTCCACAAGTCAGTTTTGGCTTAGGGGACTTTTAAACTTGGGATTTAAGCTGGAATTCAGGTCTAAGTCGAGCCAGCTCAAAGAAAACTCTGTAAGCGTAGACGTAGCCTGCGACAACTATTACCACTTTATTTTTGGGCTGGCTAAATACTTTAAAAGCTAATTATCGGCTAAAATTCGTTAAATCAAAAACAAAAATAAAAACACCCGATTTACATCCGTCACTTTTCAGGTGCAACTCAACTACTAAAGCATACAACTCTACGGTTCATCCCCCCAACTCAGCGATTACGAGGAGACAATTCTGCCCCCTTTTTTGAGTGCCAACCTTCTAGTTCATTGATTGTCATAGTCAAATTACCGTCCGATACTGTAATGTGATTTTTGCAGTTTCTGATATCCCTGCCCTTCTGGTGTCCATACCGGTTTTCTCAGCCGATTTTTTTTGTAAAGCATCCGGATGCGCTTTAGTCGACATTCCCCCAGGCTTTGGGTGTATTTCTTTTGGATTTTTCGAGCAAAAAAAATGGATAAAATATTATTATACAGGGTGTCCCAAAAAAAGACACCGGCCGCATTTCTCCATATCGGGTCCGATCGACTTGAAATTTTGCACAAAGGTAGCGAAGCCAATTTGCCATAAAAACAGAAAGTTTCAGCCCAATCGGTCAGCGTATTCGAAAGTTATAGCGAAAATACTTTTTATTTTTTATTTTGTATGGGGATTTCTGTAATTTGCATCAGAAATGTACGTAATTTTGTCATTTACGAGCTGATTTTGCATAATTTGTGCCAAAAAATGCCATTTGCTGTTTTGCGCTTCGCAAGAACGATTGCGCATGTAAAGTAAAAATGATCCACAAAACCGTCAGCTACAAGAAACCAGAATTGTAACATAAGTTCGCGGTCGATTTAATCTATAACTCGGGCTTGCGCATAGGTATAAAGCCTCGATTTGGATTTAATCATTAATTTGGAGCTGGTCGAGTGCTGTGTCGAAGACAACGTATTGAGCAAATTGACCAACCCTTCGAAGAAATGTGTGTGAGTGCCCAAAAGCTATTGTTTTTACGGCATTTTGTTTCTCATGCGCAATCGTTCTTGCGACGTGCAAAACAACAAATGGCATTTTTCGGCAAAAATTATGCAAAATCGGCTCGTAAATGACAAAATTACGCACATTTTTGATGCAAATTACAGAAATCCCCATGCAAAATAAAAAATACAAAGTATTTTCGCTATAACTTTCGAATACGCTGACCGATTGGGCTGAAACTTTCTGTGTTCATGGGACATTGGCTTCGCTACCTCTGTGGAAAATTTCATGTCGATCGGACCCGATATGGAGAAATGCGGCCGGTGTCTTTTTTTTTGGGACACCCTGTATTTTAATGGATTTAAATTTAAATGAACAGACTCACACTAACTCTCAGTCTCTCTTGCCCCCTCTCTCTCTCCCGCCCACTCTCGCGCTCCTCTCTTCCCCGCTCACTCCAAACCCTTTTGAGGCTACACCACCAACAAATCTTGGCGAGGATAAACTCACAAGAACTGAACACAGAGCTCGAAGAAGCAAGACCCAATCAACGTATCACAACGGAATTACACAGTTTTTATATGTTTCCTGCTTTTTTGCCATTGCCATTCCCGTCCACCACTAATCGAATCAAGCCGCTTTATCCCAATTGCCTCGCCCGGCTCCTGAGAAAAAACCGCGAATTTTAGGTCCGGGACGAAGATTGGGGCAAGCGATAGGGGGCAGATCATGTAGCGAACTGAAATCAAGGACTGGCACACGTAGGGAAGAGGGTGACCGGATCTCGGGCTCGATATGGCAAACCACTGGCACGAGCCGGGTTAGAAGAGAGTTTGAAGATCATTAAGTTGATTTGGTTATGCTTTGCTCTAGCTAGCTAAGCTTAGGTTTAGACTTAGGCTTAGGCTTAGGATTAAGCTTAGGCTTAGTCTTAGGATTAAGCTTAGGCGTAGGCTTAGGCTCAAGTTTAGGCTTAGCTTAGTTTCCGTCGATGCCCGCTAGTAAATTAGATTAGCTTTTTTTCACTAAAACGATTAACCCAGGTCCAAACCAGGAAGCCTAGTAGCCTTACTCGGTCTTGGCAAAAAAATCATCCGGTATCTTGCCAGGTTGCTCGGCCTGCAACACAAATTTGCAACCTTTTTTCCTTTGAAAGCCAGGCGACGATGCTATTTACTAATTTCTACAATACCAAAAAGTCCGCGATACTACTATCTGTCGTCTTTCTCCGACTCTCTCTTTATCAATCTCTCTCTGTCTCTCTCTCCCTCTATATCTCTCCCTCCCTCACTTCCTCTCTCTCTCTCTCTCTCTCTCTCTCTCTCTCTCTCTCACTCTCTCTCTCTCTCTCTGTCTCGTTTCGCCTCCGATTTTCAACATGCTACGCTTTTTTCCTAATCGAGATCATAGCAGCCCCCCCCCAAGGCAACCCTACCCGGCGATGAAGATCCGGTGTACTGAAATTGGCAGTGACGCCTAGTCGGGCGGACCTTAGCAGCTCTCGAACGGCAGAAAACATTCAGCCACCGTGCTGCCATTCCTGGAAATGGCCTGCCCGATTGAGCACCACTCTTTTTCGGCATTGCTTTTGATTTTCCATCCCAACCTACTGTTTATCCCTGATTTTTGTAAAGATTATTCCTAACTATCGTTTTTAGATGCTACTCCTACTCCTCCTACCGTTGCTCGACTTTTGTGCGGCCAGCTCGAAAATGTATTTTTTGCGTCCTTTGCAGTAGGAAAATTTTGATTTAAATGCAACAGGATGTCAAGAAAACGCGATGTTAACGACTTTTAGAGTGACACCTGATCTTAGCCACTTTTCGTACTACACGCCGGTCAACCGAAATTTAATGGTACACCTGGTAAATTTAAAAATCAATAGCTTTACAGCCTCGTTTTCTAGGAAGATCCAGCCTTCTCCAGCCAGTTCGATCAGGTGAAGGCGTTCAGGGATTTTGACCCAGTGGTAGGTTGCATTCTTTAATTGCTAAAAGGGGCAAGAGAGAGAGAGAGAGAGAGAGAGAGAGAGAGAGCGAGAGAGTTAGGCAGAAAGCGCGCGAGGGAGTGAGAGAGGGAGATTCTGACTTTCTAGACCCAGCACGACAATCCCTTACTTTAGGCTATCCACAAGATCTCACCTCTACGCAAGAAGCGCGATGTCAGCTTGGATGAGATTGAGAAGATGTAAGACTAAAGCTCATGGTTCTAGGAAGACAAGGTTTTCAAACTTGTAGTAGTTCATTTTCAAGCGCAAATCGAATTTCCAGGCTACACGATCAAAAAATTTCGCCGGATTCCGCAAAGCACCTGGCTGCGATGATGCGCCGAGATGAGCCGCTACCTAGCAGTGAGGGAGAGTGAGTTATCTTGATAGCGAGAGAGAGAGAGATACAGAGAGATAACGAAAGGTTCTCTAGTGACTCCAGCGACGATGAACTGCTGCGCCTCCTCGCCGAGTATTCCGAGATGCGGAAACGCCTGCAGGACATTGAGAGGAACATTGACTTGACGCAAAAGTTGGCCGAGGCAAGTAAAACTATACGGTAGTTAGTCAAGTTCTAGGCCGCCAAGGACCGTCTACCGGAAACGCGCACGGCGAGCACGCCAAGCTGGGGAAGCAAGACCACCGCCCAGCCCGAGGAAGAGCTGGCACTGCTTTTGGAGGGAAAGGTGGGCTTAAGAAGGACTTAGGCTTACCTTGGGCTTAGGCTTGCTATCTCGTAATTTTAGTTCTCGATATTTTTGGATCATAAAGTACCAAATACACCTAATTCCAGTCAATCCCATCCCCACCAACTGATAGCCAACTTTTGGATGCAATGAACCCGGCATCAGGCTCCGACGTTGGCGATCTGGTGCCGATGAGCTCACCCAGCACTGACGTGAGTTTTCGCTGCCCCTGAAGTCCTTCGTCCATTCTTTTTAACCGGGCTTTTCGCATCATTCGGCGTAATTTTTGACTACTAATCCAGAAAATCTGCTTTGCAAGGCAATGGCAATTCTTTAATAGTGTTTTTTTTTTTGGAAAATTAAACCATTTGTCAAGTAGAAGACCATCTAAAAACGTTACAAAGCTGAAAATTTTCGACATTTCGGTCAAAAATCGGCAGTATTTTGTCGGTAAGCGAAATTATTTTGTACTTGTTAACAAAAATTGCGTGTTGATTATGTTCATTTTTAAGCTTATGCGTTTAAGAAGCGCCAGAAACCGAGCAGAAACTCGTACTTAGCTTATTTTCACTTAAACGTTCTTGTTCAAAAAAAATCGGGCACTAAAGAAAAAAATTGGCATCGCTCCTGATACCCCCCATAATGCAAAAGCACCATCTTAATCTCTGAATTTTTGCTTTTTCAAGGCGACCACGGATCAGCCTGTCGAAGCGACAACGCCCCTTCTGGAGACGGTAACCTTTGAGCCAGCCAAAAAGGCCCCCGAGGTCGTCTGGACCTTTAACCCGGATGGCAAACCGATTGTGGGTTTTGTGGCGTGGAGTTTTCATTACTTTCTTCTTTTGATATTTTCTATTAACAGCAAATACAATTAAAGGGGTTGGGATGCCAAAACTGGCCGTCGACTAACCTTTCTGAGTTTCCAACCCATTTAAAACCAGTTTAAACTCGGGAATTTAATTAAACGTGCTAAAATCTTGAAAAAGTTTCCTTGGTGCAATTTTTATTGGATTCCCAGCCCCTTTAAAAGCGAAAAGGGAAAGATATAAAGGTAATGGAAGGTGAAACTTGGTCATTAAAGCGTGAAGCATAAGGCAAGCTAGCAGAATACCTTGGATTCCCTAACTTGCCTGAATCTATAAACCCAGAAATAATGTTTCCACGGTTTGACAATGCTAACCCGGTTTTTTGGTAGATGGTTGGGTTCCGTGGAGGGGATGCTGTGACTACTACGACTACCACCACCCAACGCCCGACTACGCGGCGCACCCGCGGACACCGCAATCGCCCGGAGCCGGTGCCGACCATCCAAGACTACATCCCGATCGTCATGGGACCCAAGGGACCTATCGTGCTACCGCATTATAATGTCGAGACCTCGACGAACGGCCTGGTCAACACCGAGCCCATCGATTTTGAAAGTGAGGCTTGGAAGAAGGAGCTGGATGAGCGAGTGAGGAGGGAGGATGAAGTGGGTTTTTAAAGGGAGAGTGTCAGAGAAGATCATTTCGATCGATTCATCTGACGAGTTGCTTGAATTTTAGCGAAATCTACGGCTCCAAGAGCACCACCGAGAAACCAGCCCAGAAGAAGGAGGACGAGCTGGAGTATTATGAGGAGGAAGAGGAAGCGACGACAACTGAGGCTCCAAAGAAGAAGAATACGGTGAGAGAGACTGAGAGAGAGAGAGAGAGAGAGAGAGAGAGAGAGAGAGAGAGAGAGAGCAAGATCGAGAGAGTGAGAGGGATACAGACAGAAGGTGCGGCTGCTAGAACGCCAGATGGACGTAGAAACGGAATTTTCAGAAACATCACAAGCCGGCTGAGATCTCGAGCCCGAAGAAAGTGTACGAATACGTCAGTGTCAATGGAGGTAGAATAACTTTTCAAAAGCCCCGCAAAATATTTGTCATAATACTTAATATGAATTAAATAGGAATATTGAAAAAAACCACTCTATTTTAGCCCCTCCCGTCCTCCGATCCATCCATTCGCCCGGATTCCAGACGCCGCAATACAGCCCCCTTGTCTTCTCTGGGCCTCAAACGTGGGTTTAAACAATGATTTAACCATCATAGATCTTTCCATTATATTTTCCACTATTTTTAGGCGCTACCCAATGCTGTCCCAGCTACCGTACGACCGCTACGCCGCCCCGATCCGGCCCCAAGGGATCCCGGCATTCTACTACCCCATGAAGAAGAAGGCCTAAATATCGATTTTCTTGGGTTTTGAAACACTAATAATTTGAGCTACCTGCAATTGTGTCACGGGTGATAAATGTATTAATTGACGAAAGTTTACGAAATTACAAAAAACGAAAGTCCTCTCAAAGTTTCGTAAAAGAGAGAGAGAGAGAGAGAGAGAGAGAGAGAGAGAGAGAATGAGAGAATGAGGGCGAGAGTGAGATAGAGAGAGAGCGAGACAGAGAGAGAGCGAGACAGAGATACAGACGGAGTGTCATTCGAATCCTAAATAAATTTGCATAAAATTTGCCCCGGAACCGCTTGAAATCCTGCCTATCAACTTGCAATCCTCATTTTTTTTACTCGTTCACCCCTCCACCCAGTCGCCGCGAGGTGAGTCGACACATCAAGTTCAAGCCGTCCGCCCCCTTCCAGATGGGCGCCGATGATCTGGACGTGAAGGGTATCGTGACGCGTATGCTGCAGGTCGGCACGCCCGACAAGGGGATGACGAAGACGATCAAGGAGGAGGAGCTCATCAATTTGTGCAGTGCGTTTAGAAGCAGCTAGGCCGTTTGGCGTGTTTTGTCGCCTTGGTTAGGACGCCGAGACCTAGTTAGCGTAAGCGGTTGATGCTCGGGGCTTCACTGGCCCTTTAAAACCGTGATTTCAGCGCACACGAAAGATCTGTTCATGTCCCAATCCCCGTTCGTCGAGATCGACCCTCCGGTCCGGATTTGCGGCGATACCCACGGACAGTACGGCGATTTGCTCAGAATTTTTAACAAGGTGGGACAGGGTAAGATAGAGAGATAGAGAGAGAGAGAGAGAGAGAGAGAGAGAGAGAGAGAGGAGATGACCAACGTATTCAGGGCGGCTTCCCGCCGACGTCGAATTACTTGTTCCTGGGTGATTACGTCGATCGGGGCAAGCAGAACCTGGAGGTGATCACGCTGCTGTTCTCCTACAAGGTATAATTGATTACGATACGATGACGGGGAGGACGACATTAGGCATCTAAAAAGATAGCTCAGAACAACAGTTTCGATTACTCTAGAAGAGCAGAAATGAACATCATCTAATTTTTAGATCCTCTACCCGAAAAACTTCTTCCTGCTGCGCGGCAACCACGAGACGGCCACCGTCAACCGGGTCTACGGCTTCTTCGAGGAGTGCCAACGGCGCTACAACTCCACCAAGCTCTGGCAGGCCTACCAGGTACACAAAATGACGATCCGGCAACTAACTACAAACGACATCTTAGGACGCGTTCGACTGCATGCCCCTCTCTGGACTTGTCGGTGACGCCATCCTGTGTATGCATGGCGGCCTGTCGCCGATGCTCACCAACCTCGACCAGTTGCGCAAGATCAAACGGTACAGGAAAAGTTGAGCTATAGATGCCTACTTTTAGACCCACCAACGCCGGCCAACCCTCAATCGAGCTCGACCTCCTGTGGGCCGACCCGGCGCTCGGGCTCTCCGGTTTCCAGCCGAACATGCGCGGCACGTCCGTCTGGTTCGGCGCCGACGTCGTCAAGGAGAAGTGCAAGGAGCTGGGCGTGGATTTGGTAGAAGCCGGAATGAATTTGGAGACATGAGCATCTCCAGATCGCACGTGCCCACCAAGTCGTGCAGGATGGGTACGAGTTTTTCGCCGACCGGAAGCTGGTGACCGTCTTCTCGGCACCGCACTATTGTGGACAGTTCGACAACGCGGCCGCTGTGATGATGGTCAAGGAGGGATTGGAGGTGAGAGAAAGAGAGCGAGAGAGAGAGCGAGAGAGAGAGGGAGAGAGCGAGAGATATACGATTTCTTTCCAGTGCTCTTTCGAAGTGTTCCGCCCGACAATCGGCAAAGCAGCCCCCAAGATCATCCCGACGACAATCCCGGAAGAGCACTAATAGACGCACGCCCTCATCGCTTGTATTTTATATCTTCTCCCGCTTATAGCCCCCCGAAAGACTCGCCATTGTGATACTGTTGAAAAATAAATCCAAAACACTCTTTCGTTGCCCCAGCAAGGTTTCGTGTTGAATAAAGATGATGTTAAACTTGGCTTGAAGCAGAAAAACAGTCCAGAAAACTGGAAATTTCTCTCCCTCCTCTCTCTATCTCTCCCACAAATCCCCTTGTCCCAGCCCCTTTAAAGAATACTTTGAAAATGCCACCAAAATATGCCCAATCCTTTATACAATGACACGCACGTACGGCGATCAGTAACGTAGAAAAACACAACAACGCAGCAAAGCGGAAAATCACAGGCGCGTAACCGATAAAAATCCCCAAGTATGGTTCGGATGATAAAGCTACGATATACAACAAAAGACGCAGTAAGGCGGACTACCGAGTACAAAAAGCCCCGAAAACAAAAACAAAAAATACGCATATTTGTAGGGTGGGAAGACTTTGGCTAGGTATAAAATGAAGATGTGTGATAGAAATGTTTTTAAAAGGACAATAACAGCTGGGGAATGTTGAAAATATGCTAACTTCGAACGAAGCGGTGCGTAGCCTACTGTATGTTCCGCGTGTCACTGTCCCTTTAAATTAACAACCCGCGATATTCTGGAATATATAAAGAGCAATTAAAGAAAGAAATGGAGGAGCTTATTAAACGATACCGATTATGATTATTATAATGGAAATTACACGTATATAACCAAAAAAAACAAGTAGAGAAAATCACAATACTTTCTCGTCCGAGGAAAGGCGATGGCGTAATTTAATGAAATGCGTGGATTACGGTAGGTAATTAAATATAGGGTCATTTTCGATTCTTCTTTTTCTTCTTTGGCTTCTGAATTAAACCTTTTTGTGGGCTCGAATAATGAACAAACCTCAAAACCATCGTCGGTGAGGAACCAGTTCGGCTTGGCGGCCGGGTCGGTGGGGGCGGTGGCCTGAATATGCAAATTAGTTTGCAACACCAGTAAAACCCCAATTTCGGTTTTCAAAGACTCCCCCAAAGAACCTCCGCTAGCCCGCCTGATGTTTAAGCAATTGAGCCGCCAACCCCTCCAGACCTCACCTCAACCCCTTGAACTTCCGGTTCATCTTCAGGCCGATCCGCGACTCGATCTTCAAAGCCGGGAGGTGGGGGCAGAGCAGAAACCTCGACGGCGGCCACAGTAGTCACTTTCACCAGCTGTTCTGGGAGATCACTATCAACAGAAGTTGGGGCCCCGGTGACCGTCTCCACCTTCTTGCTCACCACCACTTGGCCGCGTTGCCATACCTAAAACGTGGGGAATAATTCCGTGGACACCAAATTGCACCGACGTTCCACATCAGACACCATCAATTTTAGTTGTACTTTAAACGTTAAGTTCCATGCCAGAATTTAACAACTCAGTTAAGCGATACAACCACAACCAGTAGTACAACAAGTAGAAACCCCAAAAAACCGAACAACACTGATCCAAACCCAAATGCATCCAAAAATGTCACTACCTGGCCGGGGTCGGACTAAAAACGAGTATTGACAGTAAAATTAAAATATGGTAAATAGTAGAAATGTCGACACCCGAAAAATGTCGACAAGCGCCGAAATTCTGTTTATCGCTGTCGATATTTTTGCCTATCGACATTTTGATTTGTCATCATTTTGAAGGTTTCGTTAATTGAGAAGTAGGAGAGCCCTTTAGTTAATTGCTAAAAACGTTCTAACGGCAAGATGACCGATTTAAAAAAGTTACCTCAGCCGTCTCGCGGACCTCCTTCTCCTTCCGTCGTTCCTCCTCAACTCGTGCCACTTCGGGGGCCATTCGCTCACGGATTTGATCGGAATAATAACTAAAAAACAGCGTAAAATATAAACATAGGCCGAACCTCTTGAAGACCGGCTCGCCGGCGCACCAATTCAGGGCTTCGTAGGCGTGGAGGAGGAGCTGGAAAGTTGGAAAAATTGCAAAAAGCAAGGTTAAGTCTTACCAATGGGTATCGGGAAATGAAGTACCGGACGAAATCTTCGGGGATGTGGCCGAGGAGTCACGGACCTGGAATCGGGCGTTTTAAAGGGAGCGTGACAGCCTATATTAGAAACTACGGGATTTAAAGAAGCGAGACATCACAAAGACCTTGAGAGGGAACGTAAAAGCAACAAATTTAGCGTTTAAGCAATAATTTTAAAGGTAGTCAACCAGAAAGCTTGGATTTTGAGGGAGCGCGACAACGCTACAGTACCTCTTTAGGCAGCTCCCGGTAGTGGTGCTTCTTGTTTCGCATGGCTCGCAGCAGATCCCGAACCGAGTGCCCCTTGTAGGTGCGGAATTTGCGGAGATCTAAACAGTAGGCATAAATTAAGGTAACAAACCAAGAAGCGTACCTTCCGTTAAAGCCGGGCAAATATGGTTTCGCCAGTTGCCGCCAACCACCGCTTTTGCGTTCGACTCGAGCCGTTGGACAACTGGGGCCTGGTCTTCCTCCTTTTCCACCCGATCCGAGACGTCCTGAAGCGGAAGTGGTAGTAATAAACAAGAAGGGAAGAAAAGCTTAGAATTTTGGCGATAATCCCGACATTTAAAATGCTGACACTATATAAGCTCTCGAAGGACAAAATATCGAAATTTTTGGTGGTTATTTTCCCTCGAGGTCTTGGCTGTCGGTATCTGCAAGTAGTCAGCTCACCCCAAAGAACTGCAGCTTCCGGTCGGCATTCCAGAACATGGGATGGACAAGCACCGTCTGGGCGGATGGCCGCTCGGCCGGGTCGTGCCGGATCATCTCCCGGATCAGGGCCATCGACTCGTTATGGTCTAAAAATTAGAACTTGACGATAAAATTATCAAATTCTTACTCCGATCCGCCTCCATCCCGGCGAGGCTTGGCTTGCCGTGCATGATGTTCAACTGCCGCTGGAATGGGTCGCCAAACACGTGCTTGCCGTCGGTGAGGACGTAGTAGAAGATGCAGCCGAGGGAGAAGACGTCGACCGGGTATGACTGGAAATCGAGGTGGGTTAAATACCGCTCTGCGAGGTCAGTTTGCATCTCTCATTCCGATTATGTCTGCCTGTCTGCCTGTTTGTCTTTCTCTCTCTCTCTCTCTCTCTCTCTCTCTCTCCAGTACACCGTACGCACCGTGCTCTGCTCGAACAACGCTTCCGGAGCGATCCACCCGTCCGTCCCAGCCATGCCACTCCGTTGCGACAAACTGTTCCGACCCGGCCGAACCCGCTTGCAAAGTCCAAAGTCGGAGATCAGGGCCCGGACCTGTCCCTTGGTGTTGGCCATCGATATCAAGACGTTCTGCGGCTTCATATCACGATGAACTAAAAACCTAATCAGAAAATTCGATGATTGCATACCGATATTAATCGAATGCAGATGAGACAGCCCGTCACTGGCTTGTCGTAGAAGTTCCTTGGCTGGGACGTCGATCTGAAGTAACCCAGAAAATCCTCAAAGACCTCCGCAAGCACCCACCATCTTCCGAACCTCCTTTTTCTCGACGTATTCATGAAGAGAAGCCGTGCACAGCTCGAGGGCGAGATATCGGAACTGGCTGTCGGATTCCTGAAAAGATACGTTACGTTAAGAGCGAAATAATGACGAGGTACCATGCAAAAGTAGCGGATGACGTGTGGGTGGGTGTCGCTGGCACGGAGGTGGTCAACTTCGCGCTCGACCAGGCGGAGGAATTCGGAAACTACTCGTTTGACGGCAACCTCGCGACCGTCGAATTTTCCCCTAGAATGAGATCCGGCGTGAGAAAGCGAGAGAGCGAGAGAGGAAGAGTGAGAGCGAGAGAAAGAGAGAGAAAGAGAAACTCACTTGTAAACTACAGTGCCCTCACAGCCTCGCCCTAACACTTGCTGAGGGTCGTAGTGCACCTTTCCGACAGCAAACCACCCGTCCGGGACCTCGTCGACTAAAATTATTCCAGTTTAAAGGAACCTTGAAGCAACAAACTTTTTGTGTACATCCAGCCACGGCCCCCACTCGAGTGCCGAGACGTCTGGACACTTCGGCCTTCGTTGATTTGCTGCGAGACGGCGGACTGGAAGAAATCGATTTATCTCTCTATCTCTCGCTCTCTCTCGCGCTCTCTCTCTCTCAACAAATCCCTTACATGTCTCCCGCACATCCACACCGTCGTGATCAGCAACACAATCATGCTGACGATGGCGGCGTAGAAATGACGTGGGTACCGCTCGTAGATGTGGTAGATCATCGCGGCCAGGCTCTCATCATCTTCGTCGCCCGACAGCCGATTCGAGTTTGTCGGCTAAATTGATTTTGTAATAGCTACGATATAGCACTGACCTTCTTGTCACAGCCGATCATCTTGGGCTCGTTCTTCTTGCGCTGGTAGTCGATTGACGGCATCTGGGGCATCGACGGGAATCTGGTTTGGTAGAGGCCCAGCGAGAGATCGGTCGTTGGGGGCTCGTGGTAACCTAAAAAAGGAGAACTTAAATGATTATCTAAACATCTACACGGTTTCTTGGAGAAATAACCTTTTCCGGGTTTGTTTAGTGATTTCAACGTTTCTGAAGGGCGCAACTAGCACGTTGGTAACAAGTACAGCCCATATACAGGGTGCGGCAAAAGTATTGTCGCGACTTTACGCCGACTGTATCTGCGAGGAAATTTGACAGATATTCTAGCCAAGAATCTATTTGATGCAGTTTTTAATGCTTTATCGGATGATAATATTTACTTCTAGAATTTTTGCTTTTTTTGTCACTAGGACAACTTTTTCCAAAAAGCCTGCAAATTCAAGCCTAAAAACCGCTTTTTAGACGCTCTCTAGGTGGCCAAGGAATGGTATCTACGCCAAGTTTTTTATTTAATTTGAAAGAGCATGTAAAACTCTGCCCGAGAAACCATCAACCAAAGAATGTTGCGGCTCCATTTTTGAAGGAGCCCTATTCAAAGCAAAGACAAACCCAGTGCGCCGCACATGGCCTCCCCGTAAGCAAAACGCTAGATTGTGTCGTCCGCAAAGCAATGATAGCCTTGCTAATTTTTCTCTGGTTGATCCATGCTACTTTTTATATATTCCCGAAGTTTGAGCCTAGTAAATCTGACCTGGTTCGAAAACATAAGCTTCCATGACTGCTTGCAAATGCAAAATATTTTTTTCAAACCAGCGGTGGATAGCGATCAGGATTTAGCGCATCATGCACATTAAAATAAGCAAACAGGAAGCATAATAATATACTGTTACGTCATCCCCTGAGAGCTCCTTCAGAAACCAAAAACCCAAAAAACCCAAGTTTCTCGCGAAACCGGCCAGATTAGCCCATTTTCGTCTAACATGGCTGAGGCCATAACTCCTTCAAATCACAAAATTATAAGATTTCCATTTTGGATGACGGAGAACAAAGTTAATGCTACCAGAAACACATATGAAAAGTCATGGTGACACGTAGTCTCCGAATTTAGAACCCTATTTCGACGAACTGAGGGCGCGGCGCACCGTGATTTTTGGTCGTATACATCATGCAATGAAACTCGCTCAAAAATCATGATTCCAAGAAACTTTCAAAAGCAGATTGCTGCCTTGGACCCGTCTGAAGCTAACCCTGTTGACAACACTTCCCGATTTTTTGTCGCGAAACAGATATGAGACAAAAGCTCGCGACAATACTTTTGCCGCACCCTGTAAACCTATTTCCCCTAGTTATGACATCAACGTTAGTCTTCAGAAACGAACATGATCAAGTTTTGCGGCGGGTGCAGGCCAAGACGTTGTGTCAGAATTCACAATGGTCAACCGCCGAGTCGAGCATGTTCAGCTACCCAAGAACACGATTTTATACAAGATTCACGACAAGTTCAAGCCCGACTCGGGTAGGCCGGTATCATCAACCCGTGCCCCGACAGGTTCAACAAGTTCAGCCACGTATGATTCTTATGATCTACAACAATTTGGTCAAGTCCAAGCCTCGCTCGAGTCCGACGAGTCCCTGCAGTTCAATATTTTAGCCTTTTGCAATCCGAGCCCGTTTCCAATTTCGCCAGACAAGTCCGACGCACAGGTGGACGGGCCGTCGTGGGCTACAAGCCCCCGGCCGTCTTGTTAGTGCTGGTATGACGTTCTCGTCCACTTTTAGACGGGCCGTTCGTCCTGGTTGACGGGAAGGGCCAATGTCTAGGGCCCCGCTGTTGACATGTACGCCCTCACAGGTAGCTGTTGTGTTTTTGCTAGCTTGCCGAGGGGCTGGGATGATGGATTGCTGATAATGATAGGAAACATAAATATCTTGGGATTGAGCTGGGTAGTTTTATGGGGTGGATGGTTCCGCAACGTGGAACCCCGGTAAAGAGTTCGAGCGGGCTTTTGAAGGGTTGGTTTATACGTTGCTCGATTGGCTATTTGTCAATTATTAAACAGGTCTGATCGATCCGGCCCATCCAATACCTTTAAAGGGATGGGCAAGGCGGGGCTGTGGATTTTGTAGGTCATGCATAACGTATAAATTTAGTGTGGTCGCTACACGCCCCGACGCCCGCTTTGGTTGACGTCAGCGCATGTATTTGTGCGAACTCACCCTTTAAAGAGAGTCATTGAGGAGTACGGCAAACCTGCGTCGATCGTGACGCTTCGCGTGTCATCGATCTCTCCCAGAGCATGATCTCTTGGACAAGAGGAGACACGCAACACGCCCACGACGCGTTCACTCCGCCACGTTCGTGAGGAAGCTCTGATAGATCTGGAAGCCAAGCGATCGCCAGAATTTTCTGGGTTTTTTGAGTTTCGTCCTCGACGTCACGCGGTTCCTTTCTTGACTTGAAGCCGTCTTGGATTGACAGCTAGCGCCAAGCTGTCTAAGCGGCCCAAGTCCAAGCCGAATTGCAGGCCCAAAACCGCTTCACCAACTTCCCGATTCCCTGAAACCCATAAATCCCCCGCCCATGTAATGTAAAGCCGGGTGGCGCTGTTTACCATCCGGAATTCCCTCCCCCCGTCCAACCTCTGTCGATCAGAGAGCCAAATCACAATCATCCATTTCTCACCCCGGACTTGTTGGCTTTTCAGTTAGGGCCCCTAACCCAAGGCGGGAAAGAGGGGAGTGCAACTTTTCTCCGGCACCTTACGACGAGTCGAGGGAGGGCCAGGGGGGACGGAAAGCGGAAAAGGAGGAGTGGTGTGTATGTGTGTGAGTGGGACTCTTAGAGCCAGAGAGGGAGAAACTGGGCCCTAAGGATCAATGCCTGTCCGGGTCGCGGGTTGGGGTGGTATGAGCCCCGGCGGGTGATAGCCATCGATTTGAGGTCGACGCCCAGGGACACCCCCCGGCCGATGGCCAAGTATATTTAGCCGCTTGGCTTTAGGGTTTTGTCTTGGCTGAGGTTATGACCGGAAAATTCCTTTTTACAGCCCTGCTCTTTGCAGCAGGGCTTTGGAAAGATCGTGTTTCCGGCAGGACTTCCCGGCTGCGCTTCGCTTTGGTGTTTGACCTGGCTAACTGGGTTCCGGGACCAAACTGTCCTAGCTGACCCTGTGGAGGTCCTTGTGGCCTTCTTTCGGAGCGATGTTTCTAGACCATTTTTTCCTATTTTACCTGCCGAAAGTTTTGTCTAAAAACCAGTTCTGCTAATTTCGATTCTGTTCGAGAACTCTCTCTCTCTTTACGAAAAGATCTTGAGCGTGAGCTCGTCGGCCGAGCACCTCCGGCGTTCACTTTTTGCACTAACTTTGCAATAACTAATTTTTAACTTTGAAACCAGATTTTAAATACCTCAAAGATTAGTTATTACTTAGGTTCAATAGTATTCTGTAGGTTACTAAACCGAACTATTGTGGATAACATAGGTAAGGCCGGGGGGCGATATTTTCCTTGGCAAAGTTAATGAAGCTTTTAGCAGATTTTTTCGTTCCGGCAAATTTTCCAGTCCTTCTTCATGTTCCTTTTTCACCTTGAAGGACTTTTTCGATTCCTGGATGACTTGAGAAATCGTAAAAATTCGGGCCTTTCATCGCTCGGAATTTTCCTAGGCCAAGCGGTTTCCGCGGGAGTTTAAAGATAGGTACCATTAATGCCCTGCGCCTACTGATAACGATAAATTTCCCCCGAGTATTTTGATCTTCAATCCCGATTCCGCCACGACCATGTTGTGGTCAAGCGGCCGGCGAGTGTGGCCCGCCAAGCAATTGGGGGATGAGTGAGTGTCGGTGTGTATTGGCTGGGCCACACTATCCCGAACACATGTTGCATACGGCCAAGAGGTGGCCGGCATAGAGGGGACGCCATTAGCATGGGCTTTTCCTCCACCAGCGAATGCACGTTTGAAAATGTGCCCCCGGGGGTATGGAGCCGGGGGACTGCGGGCATGTGTTGATCAACCGAGGCTGGGTGGTGGCAAATTGCTTGCGGGTTGGCTCGTTGGCTGTGCTCAAAAACTTTTGTCGCATCCCCGCCGGGCGGTCTGCCTGGGTGGCCGGGCCGTCGTGAATTTATTGTACTTCCTTTGGGGTTAATTGGGGTGGATGTCTGTCTGTCTCTGTCCGTGTGTGCCTCTGGCTCTTTCTCTCTCTCTCTCTCTCTCTCTGACTCCGCGTATCACTCTCTCTCCCTCCCTCACCCTCTTCCACTTGAAGCCGGCTTCGTTTCCGGCCAATTTCTCATCAAGCCCGGCGAAACACAGCCAGCTGCAGGTGTAAATTTAGAAGGCAAGTATCGCACGCTTTTCCCGCTTGACCTACGCAATCGAAGACCCTGAATTCCCCCCAAATAACCTCTGCTAGCTTTCCCAACTTTAAGCTCGAGCCTTCGCTTTGGTTTTTTAGCTTTTTAGCTTTAGTTTACAAAGTTAAAATCAATCCTGTGAATTTCCAAAAAAAACCCACCCAATAGCAAAAATTCCCCATCCTTCGTCGTCGTCGTAATGGCTGGCATATCGAGATGGACGATTCTTCTAGGGCTTGGACGTCGTTCTTCTTCCTAAAAATAAATTCTTAATTCGATTCCACCATGTTCTCAGCTCGCTTGCCAGCGGATTTTAACCAAATACCTTTAGATCGTACCAGCAGGCCCGTACGAGGGGGGGCACCGTGGGCACGGTGCCCCCCGAAATCGGTCGGGGTCCGAAAAGTTCGTAAGGGGGGACCCTTATGTTTTTTTTCGCAACAATTTTTCTGCCTGCGGCGCTGTTTATCACTGTTTCGAAACGATTTTTACTCCTAAAAACCTATTTTTCTAAAATTTTTTTGCCTGCGGCGCTCGTTTTCATTAGTGCACCATTTTTGCTGAACAAAATTTCGCTTGCGCCCGTCGTTCCCGATGCGTTTTCACACGAATTTAAGCGTTACGACCGCGGTTTTCTCAATTTTTTTGCCTGCGGCGCTGTTATTGTCGCTATTTTTGAAAGTTTTGAAAGTGGCGACGGGGGGGGAGGTCGCCAAATTTTTTGGGTGGGTGCCCCCCGAAATCTCGGCTCCCGTACGGGCCTGCGTACCAGATACCTTACAAGGCCCCTTCTACCATTTTTCGCAACTTTCATGCCTCTTCAACAAAAAGCTTCAACATATCAACACTTGATGGCCGGAGGGGAGACAAGAGAGGAGGGAAGGCCAAAAGCCCTTGGCTCAAAAAGCCATCCCCCCCTCCCACCTCCGGCTCACCTTTCCGGCTTTTGACTGGAATGTGTCCACCTTCAAGGTGCTTTCCCCCTGTGGCGTTTTTTGCGGCTCATCGATGCTGTTTCGGCCTCCCGAGCTGCTCTTGTTTGTCAGCTATTTCGGGTTTATTTATTTAGATTAATCACGATGGGGTAAAAATTACGGCCCCTAATTAAACCTCCATTAGCGAAGAATTTTAATCAAAGAAACTGAAAAGCTCATGTTTTTTTCATTCCGTTCATGATCAAAATTTTACTAAAATCGCGCCAAAACAGCAGGTAGTATGTTTTCAATTTCCGCAGTTTTTATTTAAAGATTCGGCATTTTTAAAGGTACTTGAAAGTTAAAATTCGACCTTTTCCTTCTGCAAAATCTCGAAAGCTATGCGCCAGATCAAGAAATGCGTTTCCTGAATACGAACTTTGGCCCCAAATCCTAGTTTGCTTATCTAAATTTGGTGGCTACCAAAATTAGCCCAGAAGTTTTTTTAGCATAATTCCCAACTACCGACAAAATATTAGACGGTGTATTTCAATTGAGAAGCACGATAGCTCCATTAAAAAGCCAGTCCTTTGACTTCGCAGTCCCTTTAACCGAATTCCTCACCGATAGTGCTATCGCGGCTCCTCCCCTCGAGCAGTGGTGGTCCCAGATACTTGGGCGCAAACGTGAACGAGTCCTCATCGACGAACGCGTTCATCGCGTACAGGCCGAACGGCGACTCGCCGACGTACAGCGTTTGATGAAGCGCTAAAAATTAGCGCTTAAAAATTTTAACTATAACCAACTTGGTTTATCCGGAAGTGTGCCTCCCATCGTGTCCTCGTTTTCCCAAGTCTCGGCGCGGTAGAGGGCATGCTGAAAAAACTGGTTAGCTCTTGTAATTCAACCCGAAGCACCGCTATGATACATTTTTTCACAAATTTTTAAACCTTCGACATCTGAACCATTTTCTACCGGCTTTAGTAAACCTGAACTGTAAGTTTGACAGTTTAAGGCCATTTTGGGATAATACTAGCAGTTTTCCGAAGCATCAAAAATTTTACGGCCTCTCTCTCTCTCTTCAAATTTCTAGAGACTGTCATTAAACTTGCTATGTATTGCAAAGTGCGTAAGCCCAATTTACAGCAATTTCAAGATCGTAAAGTACTAACTATTTTCGTAGCTTAACTTTTTACCCTTTTCTCTTTTCTGTTCCGTATTACTTCATAACAAAACCCAAATCTATGCCCATATTTGCAGGCGGCGCCATTCCCAAAACCGGGGCCCGCGCCCGACACCTATCGACACCTCCAACGACCCACAAGGTCTGTGTGGTGTCGCGGCGGCGAGAGCCGGGTCGTTTGAGACAATTGATCACTCAATCTCCATTTGCCTGTCTCTTCCACTCATTCCCCCCCGCTCACATCCCGGCTCCACACCCTGCTGCCACGGCGACAACCGGGGGTAAGCAGCCTCGGCTGGAGGCGTCGTCTGTTCACGGTTCGTAAATGAGGTGGAATGGGTAGTAACACGCCAAAAACAAGATGAGCGAAATTGCGGAACGCTAGCAAATAAGCTCGAGGATGAGCGAATCTTTTAAAGTAACTAGGAAGGCAGAATTCTGGATTTCGGCATGATTAGGCGACGAAAATCGCTAAAATGCGCATTGCACTCGTGTCGAAATCGTTAAAAATCCTTAGCTAACAGCATCCATAGCCGTGCGATCCTTGCCCGGTCCTTTAATGCGTCATCCGCAAGGTTTTCCTTGCAGCGGCTATCTATGGGGTATGGAGTCCCCGTCGGGCTCGGCACCAGCAGATGACAAAAAGGGAGGACTCGAACTTGCTCGAGGAGCCGGCCATAGAGCGGAAGCGCTCCGGCGGCCGCTCCCCCACACAACTTCACCGCGAGCACAGTCGCGACTTATCTCAGGTAAAATATCAGCAAGGTACTGAAGTATCCTTCAATTTCTAGGGGTTCCGGCACTACCCGAGGACAACAAGTATAGGCAGCAAAGGGAGTCGAAAAGCGCGCTGCTGGGCAGTAGACAGCCGAGCGAGGACAGTAGGACGTTACGGTAGCTGGGCATGGTCTTGAATGGCACTTTTACAGGTTTACGGTAAATGGCGGGGCGCCGACGAGTCCGAATGAGTCGTTCAACACCAAAGGGAACTGGATGCGGCGGTTATCAGTTGCGCCGGGGCTTGCGCTACGCGAAGCAGGTACAGTAGAGGGTACAAATTAGTGACTTTCGCGAGTTTTGCAGTTACCGCTAAAAGTAGCCTTTAAGGGGGTCTTCAGATCTCATGCTCTCCCTCCCCTCCCTGTGGCTCTCTCTCTCCTCTTCTCTCTCTCTTTCTCTCTGTCTGTCTCTCTTACCTAAACTCAAACATGCCTTTTAAAAGAGCTAGAAAGCCCGAGGATGGGCTTATGCTAGAGATCGACTAGACGACAGCTACGCACGAATGACACGGCTACCATGTGGGACTAGGCAATATTTTTCGACATCTCGAAATTGGCGATATCAAGCCGATTTCAGGAGTTAATTCCAAACTTCCCGGTCTCGTTAACAACATTAACCCAAAAATTCTTTCGCTGCTACCACCCGCACTCTCACTTTTTCCATGTTTCCCCCGACCTGCCCGAAATACGTTGACGTCGGTTGGGGCGGGAGAGCGATTGAGGGTGTCGACGGGAGGGGCCAGGAATTTCCGTCGACAATTGGCTTCTCCTCAGGGAGGCCCATTTAGTGTGTGGCCGTTCTCTTCGAGACCCCCGACCCGACCAATTGATCAGCCAATAGAGGCACACCACCGGCAGGGCGGGGAGGCAGTACATTATCCATTGGGTCCTGTGGGCCCCCGAGGCTGGGCCCTAAGGGGGGAGGAGAAAACGAACATACACGACGACACCTGGTGCTCACCCGCTGGGCTCGAATCGCCTCGGGTGTACCCCGGCACTTCTTCCCCGTCGTGTTACGTGTTTCCGACGTGTCAGCCTGCGGTCATCGATACCAGATATTTTCTATGGTATAGCTGGGGGTGGCCTAGTCGCGCCATCGTATTTTCTATGGGCCACAGGCCGTTCGCGGTCACTGTATTCAGCCTATGAGATTCACGCCCAAGCCCGTCCGGCCGATGCCGGTGCCCAAGCGGTACACCGTCAAGTATTCGGGTGATTTTTTGGGCTACGCTTAATCGATCGAAATCGGTGCCTTCGCATTACCGGCGGCGGGGGAGCAAATTTTTTTGTCTTAGGAACCAATTTTTTAAATATACATTGTGGAAGTGTTTCTAAACTGCTTTTTACTATTCTTAAACGTAAAAACTTTAGAAAATTTGATTAGAAAAACTAAAAAAAAATCGATTTTTGGGACAAAAGTGGCCGTTTTTGGTCAAAACTTTCACTCTAAGTCCGCAAGTCTGCAAACTTTGTGAAGAAGTTTTGAGAAAGGTTTTCCAATTAAAATATAGTTTTATTTTGCTAAAAACATTATGCAAATACTTTCTATTAAGTTACTAGATTAGATTTCTAGATTAATACAACAAATTCCCCCCCCCGGTGGGGGGAAAAGGTCACGTGGCTTTTCTTTTAAAATCCTTTGCTTTCTGGGCCCCTTTAGCCCCCAAAACCGTCCATAGGTACCCGGCGTACGGTTAATTCTTAATTTCTAAAAATACGAGATAACCCTAATAATTGTATGTTGCCCAAAACCCCACAAAACCTCCCCTTTTCAGCACCAAAAAACGGCGGATTATCAGGTCAGCCAAAAAATCAGCCACTCTAGTTGTTAGTTCCGGCCGCCGTCAAAGCCTTGGCTATACCATCCCTTATTTCAATGAGCCCACGCGAAAAATGCCAATCCGACCATTTCAGGCCTGTCGCGGATACGAGTGCGTGGCCACCTCGGTCACCTCCAGTATGGGGAGATTTTGAAGCGCTTCGAGCGGCAGAGTACCTTTCACGGCATCTGCCACGCGTCGTTGGCCCCGAATAAAAGTGGCGGGATCTTTTGGTACACCGCATTCGGGATCTGCTTCCTTTTTCTGCTCGTGCAGGTCGTCTTTCTCGTCATAAAGTATCGGGAGTACAAGAAGACGGTCGATCTTGATGTGAGTTGATTATAATGACGTAAGGGCGTCCTTGTGGGCTTAGAAAAATTCAAAAGTTCAATTCGCGTAGACTACCGGGATCAATTTTTGAAAAATCCTTATTTAGAAATCATCCGCTTTTTTTTCAGCTCAAATTTGAAAATGCACCATTCCCGTCGATCACATTGTGCAACTTGAATCCGTATAAAAGAAGTGCTATAATGCAGAATCCAGAGACTAAAAGACGGTAGGTCCAAGTCGCGATAATTCAATCACTGTTTTTCAGATGGAAATGTTCTCAAAACTCGTGAATAAAGGTGACAAATCGGAGGGCGTGGCAGCGTTGTTACAGGCGCGCTTACAAAGCCGAGGTAGATACTTTAAATCCCCCAGAAAACCTTCGCCGATTACAGTACGCCGCGGCAAACGACGGGTGAACAAAGCTCACAACCGACGATATCACCAAGTATTCGCGCAATGTCTCTGTGATGTGGATACAATAAGCGGGGAGCGGAAAGGTGGCTGTATCGTGGCGCAGAGTGGGAAGGTGTCCTTCGGCTTCACCTCGGCCACCCCGTTTAATTTGCATCCCGCAAAATGCCTCTGCCAGCTTGATACGACGTCGAAGACCATGTGGCCGTGCTTTCCATGTAGGTTTTTGAGCGTTTTCGAGATTTCGAGCTTTCAAGCTTAAAGGGGCTCTGGCAGCAGGCCCCTTTTTCCACGATTCGTGGAGGCGTCGCGGTCGGGTGCGTCGCGGCAGGGAGAGAAAGAGCGCGCCCAGAGGCGAGACGCAGACAGATCTCTGCGTCTCTTCCCGGTCCCCAAAATGCCGTAATCGGTGTGCTGCCAGAGCCGCTTTAACCACTTTCCATAAAGAATGACGAAAATTAGAATTTTCAAATTTTTAATTGCCGAGATGTGAGAAAATTAGGATCTGGCAGAAAGCCTCGCATAGCAAGCTTGGAATTTTTTAGATTCAACCTGGAAAGAGAGATTGTGCGCCGAGTGCGTGCCCAGCTCCGGCCACTGCCCGATGCGCTTCTACAAGGGCAACGAAAAGTACGAGGACATCCAGGACAAAGTCGACATCTGCCTCTGCCACAAGGACTACAACCACTGCATCCAAAACAACGAAGGAAACGTCATCCCCGAGATCGGGCCCGAGGAAGAGATCTCCTCGCTGAACATCACCGCCCAGACGCAGAAAGCTTTGGCCAAGGCTGGTGGCCCCAAGGTCACCACCACGACAACTACCGAGGCTCCAGAAGTAATTGAAGCTATGGGCTTTGCGGTAAGGAGACCAACAAGGCATCAAAATCCTTGGTTTTAGGAGCTCACGGATGAGATTGCCATCACCTCCCAGGCCCAGCAGAACATGATGTACACCGTGGGCAGTATGGGCGATAGCGAGAAGACGACGATGTCCCAGACCAAGGATGACTTCATCTTGCGCTGCTCGTTCAACCAGAAGGATTGCAACATTGACGAGTAAGTCTTGAGCTTCTTCCCCAACAAACTTGTTTCAGGGACTTCAAGCTGCACTACGACCAGACCTACGGAAATTGCTTTACGTTCAACTTCAATCGAACGAAAAAGCTGGAGGCCCATCGAGCCGGAGCCAATTATGGTAAGTGGAAAGTCACGTTTAAGGGGGTTAACCAAACAAATTATGGTTCTTTCGCATTATCGGGGGGGGGGGGGACTAACGTTTTCTTACGATCTAATTTACAAATATAAATAGTGGGTGCTTCGAAATAACAAAAAAGTTTGGTCCCCCCCGCCGATAATGCGAAAGAACCCAAAATATCTACGTCGGAAAAGGTTTTCCCCTTATTTATCGATCAAAGGGGTGGAACAGACTTACTAGCCCCTTTAAGACCGATGATTCCAGGTCTGAAAGTGATTTTGTACGCCGACATTGCCGAGTATCTACCCACCACCGAAGCCGTCGGTTTCCGGATCACCGTGCACGACAAGTGGATCGTCCCTTTCCCCGATGCTTTTGGCTACAACGCGCCCACCGGGTTCCTGTCGGCATTTGGTGTCCGCATGGTGGGTGTCAACATTTACACTGATAAGCTAGACGGCCAGTGTTAATCCGGCATGTTTACAGAAAAAGTTCCGACGCCTCGGGCCGCCCTACGGGGACTGCCGATCCCCAGCCAAGAACGAGATGAAGGACGACTTTTTCTTGTACCAGAATTTCAACTATTCAGTGGAGGTAAGAGATGAGATCGAGTGAAGGATATTGTGGTTTGGATGTCTTTTGCCCCCTCCCGGTCAACCCCGGAGATTGTATCTCGGCTCCCCGTTGGCCTGACAGGTCGTAAGGTATATCAAAATACTGGCGAGGACAAGACGAAAATGTTGGTATACCTTACCAGGCCAAAAGGGAGCCGAAACTGACGGTTCGGGGTCGGCCGGGTGGGACAAAACGCGCTTTAAATGTTACTTTTTAGGCTTGCCACCGGAGTTGCACCCAACAAGAGATCCTCGGCAAGTGCGGATGCGCAGACCCCATGTATCCGCTGCCCAACAACCCGGGTGTGGAGAACTGCAAGGCTGGCGATCCAATGGCAAGGGACTGCATCAAGAACACCTCGATCGAGATTGGTGCCAAGATTGCGGAGAACGAGCTGAGGAACTGTATGTGTCACCAGCCTTGCGAGTGAGTTTTGAAAATTGTCCGTATCACGTTTCCCTTAGCCGTCCCCTCCAGTTATTTCTAATTAACGCGTACGTACGCGTCGCGCGTCGCGACTTATGCCCACAAATGTGACGTGCTTGCGCGCGTTTACAGCCTAGATACATTGAAAGAAACTCATCTAGGGAAACCAACTACGAGGTGACCTACTCGGCAGCACGATGGCCATCCGGGTCGGCCAACGTGATGGAGTGCGTCTCCGGGGACTCGCTCTGCCTCGAGAAGTACAAGAAAAACGCCGCCATGGTTGGCTTCACAAAAATTCAAAAACTAAACTTCAAAATCAGGTCCAAGTCTTTTACGAAGAGCTGAATTACGAGACGATGGAGGAATCGCCCCAGTATTCGGTAAGAAATTGGTCATAAACCTAATTGTAAGCTAGAACTAGCCTTATCTAATTATCTAATTATACTGTCTAATGATATCGCGCATTAATGACCTTTCTAGCTAACCAGCATCCTGGCCGACTTGGGTGGTTTGACCGGACTTTGGATCGGAGCCTCGGTCGTCAGTTTATTGGAAATCGGCTCGTTGATACTGTTCTGCTGCCAGGCTTGGTTCCGGAAACGAAAGTGGGTTTTATAGGACATTTAAAGGCACTATGACTCCAAAGAACTTTTCGATGTGCTATCGTAAGGTCGAAATTCATAATCGAACTTCATAGTGTCCAAATTTCATAATTCCGAAATTTCATAATCTCGAAAATCGTAATGTCGAAAATTCATGCTGTCGAAATTCATATTGTCGAAATTTTTTGCATAGGAAACGAGGGTTTTCCGGAATTCGTGAATTTCGACATTATTAAATCTCGACATTACAAAATTTCGACAATATGCTTTTTGAGGTTTTGAAGAACCCTACTTTTGCATATGCTTCGATTAAACCAAAGAAACTTTACTTTCCAGGGCCAACTCCTCCAACACCCCGTCCGTAATCGTGCCCGTCCAACAAAGCACCCGACTCTCCGTCCACTCCTCCAGCATCCCCCGCTCAAAACAATCCCTAGTCCTCGACGAAGTCCCACCTATCCTCGAAATCACACCCAAATCCTCTACGAGCTCAATCATATCCCAGCCCTCTCGGCCACCCTCCAGAAAAAGCAAGTCCAGCCTACGCTACATTCCCCCCGACGAAGAGCTGCCCTGTCTGTGCAAGTACAACGATATGGGCTTCATCGTGCATATGAAAGCAATGTGCCCGGTGCATGGGTATATGGTACGCCGGAATTGGGACGATGAAGCGGAGGAGGAGGAAGATTTTGAGGAAGAGGATCAGGATTAAGGTTGGTGAATTAATGATCAGGATAAATAATTAAAACGGAAACTAAAAAATGGGACTTTTGCATTATCGGGGGTGTTTGATGTTTGTTATAAATAAAGCCAGTTTTCCACACTGGCTTTTACAACTATTGACTTTTTGCCGTTTTTGCCTTCAAACACGTTATTCTTCAAGGTAAATACACTAAAATTTTATTAGAATAATGCAAAAAATGAGATTTTTTCGGCGAAAATTTCAGGTTTTTTAAATTTTTCGAGGTTCTAGATGGTTTTTCCATGTTAGATATAGCTAAATTGCTTAAAACCTATGCATATCACAACATACCGAAACCCCCCCGGTAATGGGAAAGTACCGAAAAGTGTATCATTTTTTTAGGAACCTCATCTCGGAGATTATTCTCATGGAAACCTGTGATATTTGGGCGCACGGACACTACAATAAATCAACGACCGTTGGACAAGACTCGGCAACAACGATCGTCCAACAAAACCCCCCGTCACCCATCCCGTCGATAGTTGCTCAATTTTTTTAGGCTAATTTAATTTTTTCACATATACACCACGATACGGGCATTGTCTCTTGTCATCACCACCAACCCCCGTGCAATTAGCGCCGGAATAAATGGTTCTATGACGTCGCTATTTTTTAATACCTTGATCAGACGCTCCATCGACTCGCGCCCGATGACCGTGTAGCGCAGCTTGTGCAGACCGTCGTGCTGAAAAGGGCGGTATTTTAAAGGTGTTGAGAAGGCAAAAATCAAAAGGATTTAGCTATGGAATTTGGATAGTTATTCGACAGGTATTTTGTAGCGCTCAATGAGGTAGTACTCTTTTAGTTTTTAGTAGGTCTGGATCTATAAAAATTCATCATTTATTTAATTCTTCAGGACCTCCCGATAATTCTAATAATTTTTAAGGAGTTTCTATACTCTAAAACGATGAAAAAAATACGTAAGCAGTGTATAAATGACAAGGTGTAGTGTTATAAATCACAGTGTAAAGAAATTACAAGTTATACCTTGGAAAAGTGAAGATTTTACCTGTAGAAGATACATTGCCACGATCGGCTGTCCCAAATCCTTCTCCCATACGATCTGTCCGTCCGCGTCTACCGTCAAAATATGCCCAGTGCTCGACGAAGCGAAATGTTGAAATGGATAGGCGGCATCCGCTAAAAAGCAGCTGTTTGCAGAAGATTTTGTTCACACCCACTTGGCAATAAATGTGCCGAATAGTCCGTAAACGTCGCGTTCCAGTGTCGATTTCGGTCGTTTGTATCGAACATGCTCAACCGGTACTCACTACGGCCGATGAAAATCTGTAAAGATGATTACTAAAGTTTCGCTCTGCAAACATACCGCTCGTGCCTTATTAGCCGGACAAATCCGTTCGGAAGTCATTGATGACAGAGTCTCGACCTTGATGCCAGTCTCCGGGTCCAAGCCGAACCAAACGTCCTGCTTGTTGCCTGGAAAGTGATGCGCTTTACAATTTCAAGTAAAGCTCAGGCTTTTAGAAACGGTTTAAATTCACCTGCGTAAAGTACTCCTTGACTATCTTTCGATGGAGACAAATGGACGAGTTGTGGTATATTAAAAGGCATCTTTTTCAATGTCCCTTCCTTCAACGAGTAAAGACTGCCATCCATCGGGTTTGGCAAAAATGTGAAGCCTTGGCGAATAGAGCTGGGCGCACGTAGGACAGGCCCTAAAGTAGAATAATTAATAAAAACCTTCCTTTTCGTCCTTATTTTAACCAAACGCACCAACCTTCCTTTAACGCCCATTTTTCCCTTCCTGTCAATGTATCCAACGCGCGCAGATGTCCATCTATCGTTGACACCAGCACAGTGCCATAGTTGTATCCCTGCTGCTGGCCGTAGATTACCTAAACCCCGTTTTCATCGCAATTTTTCAAAATTACATCATCTGCTTTTGTGCCGTGTCCGCCTAGCAGGAGTAGAAAAATGAAGACGAGTAATTCCCGCATATCCTTTGCATCAAACCCGCGAATCGAAAATGGATGAGGGGATGTTGTTCCTGAAAAACAGATAAATTTGTTGCAGCAGTTTAAAAAATAGCAAAATGCAGAAACTACTTTTCAGCGCTCTTAGGACCTGAGAAATCACGCGCTCATAATTTAGACCATCCTAAATAACAAATATGCCTATTATAATATTTTTAAAACAGTATGTATACTTTGTTGGTGCCCCAGTTTTGCAGTCCAAAAGCGGCCATATGCGACTCCGACTCGCTACTATGCCCGTAGTTTGGAGTTTGTTGTACCGGGGACGCCAGAATTTCATTAGCAAACACATTTGTTTCAACATGGCGTTATGCAATTTGTTTGTTGTTTTTTTTCGAAAAACAATACTTTTTTATACTTATTTTAATTACATTGAACTAAATAGACGTTTTCTAGATGTCCTTCGCGGGCCTGCTCGACATCGCGCGAAAAGATGTCTCTCTGAGGTCCGATGCGCCCCAAGAATTTCACCGAGATCATCATGTCGACTTTTTGGACAAGTTTCAAAAGAACAAGGACAGCTATGAATACGTCATGTCCGAGCCGCTGCGTGTTTCCGGCATTTACTGGTGCTTGAGCGCGCTGGACATCATGGACGCGATGGATCGCGTGGATCGGGAGGGTGTTTTGGAATATTTGCGCCAATCTCGGAGGCCGGATGGCGGCTATGCTCCCGCTGAGAATCACGACAGTCATTTACTACACACACTATGCGCAATTCAGGTGATATCGGCGTTTAAAGCGTTTTTATACAAATTCTAAACAAGGGAGTAGCTAAAGCCTGCGTTTTCAGATTCTCACAATCCTCGATGCACTCGATGAATGCGACAAGGACTCCGTAGCCGATTACGTGCGTGCCCGTCAAAAGCCCGACGGTTCCTTTGATGGCGACGAGTCCGGCGAGATCGACACCCGATTCACGATGGTAGCCCTGGCCACCCTGTATCTCATCGATCGCCTCGACGCCGTAGATGGCGAAAAAGCACTCGACTTTGTGAAGAAATGCTACAACTTTGACGGCGGTTTCGGGACGCGGCCCGGTTCGGAAAGCCACGCCGGCCAGGTCTACTGCTGCGTCGGAGCGTTTGCCATTATGGGACGACTAGAGGAGCTCGATTTGGAGAGAACGGCCGAATGGCTCGCGCATCGACAGTGCGCCAGTGGCGGGCTAAACGGGCGGCCGGAGAAGCTGCCTGACGTTTGCTACGGATGGTGGGTGCTGGCGTCGCTGGCGATGATTGGCAAGCTCGACTATATTGATGTCGACAAGCACAAGGCGTTCATTTTTGCCGCCCAAGATGAAGATGGAGGGATTGCGGATCGGCCTGGAGATTTGCCGGATCCGTTTCACACCGTGTTCGGGACTGCTTCGATCTCACTTTTTGGACATGACGGTCTTCTCCCTGTCGATCCGGTGTTTTGTATGACCACACGAGCGCTGAAAGAAAAAAGCTTTTATTGATATTCGTTTATTTGCGCTGTACTAAAATTATATGCGCAATTTCTGAAGTAATCTCGTCGTCAAAGTATTTTTGAGCAGCCACTTTACCTATTTTTCAGGTTTTCACTTTGTATTAGCCAATCGCCGTCTATTCATTCACTTTCCGAGAATGCTCCTGTGATTTCCTTGCTCCTACGGTTCTCAATTACCCTTTTCCGCGTGTCTAGCCTTGAAATAAAATTGCCCAATTTCAGATGGTCATCATCAGTCGGGAGAACCTGCAAGAGTTCGACGCTGGGCCAATTCTAACCTCTTTTAAAGAGGTACGAGCTTTAAAATGAATTACAAGATATATCGTTTTAGATCCCGCCCGGTGACCACTCGCTGACCCCCTTCGAATTGGCGTATTTCGATGATTTGGCCACGACGTTGGTGGTCGACCCTTTGTTAGGATTTATCACACACAAGATGCATAAAAGGTATAGGAGAAAAAAAATAAGAATTTTTGCTTTCAGAAAGCGTTATTTGAAACACTTGGAAGGGGATCGCGCGCGCGAGATTGCGCGGAATTTTGTGCAGATGGGCGACGTTCGGGCAACCTTGCAAGATTATCTGGCCATTCCGTGGGCTCTGAACCTGCAACTTTTCATTGTCGTTTCAGGTCCGTGCAAACGTTTCTCACCGGCTACCCACTGAACAAGCGACGTGAATTTCGAGACCATGTAAGTTTTTTTTGGGTTTGAAGGTTTGTTTTTGAGGTACTACGCTTCCTGCAAATGTTCTCCGTGAAGAGTGGATTTTCGATCGAAAAATGCGCGCGCTACTCGCAGGAGGGCAATGTGGGCGCCAGGTTGATAGCGACAAGGGCTTGGTAAGTTTTTGAGTAGATGGCTTTTAGATTTTGCCTTTTTCAGGCGCAAGGGCGAAAAGCTGTCCCGGCTTTGTGGCGTCATCAGCGCCATGACGGAAAAGGAGGAAGACACTTTCCTTTTACCAGGTGTCAACGACTTTTCAGTGATGTATAGCACAAGGTAAGTAAAAAAATTATACATATTGGAGGTGTTTCAGGAAACAATGTGCACAGCTTTGGCTCGGGCCCGGCGCCTACATCAATCATGACTGCAACCCGACTTGCCACTGGGTCCCAGCTGGAAAATCGGCCGTTATTGAGGTCATTTCGAGTCTATGAAAAAATATATTGTTTTAGGCTAGCCGCGACATCGAGGCCGGCGATGAAATAACGATCTACTATGGCGAGGGATTTTTCGGTGAAGAAAATGAGCGCTGCGAATGTGTTACGTGCGAACGGTTCGTAGCTCCAAAAGGTACCAAAATGTGTTTAGACGGGGCACCGGCGCTTTCATGGGAGCAGATGAAAATCGTGACACCCTCTCCGGGGCTAGCGTCGAATTGGACTCGGACAAATTACGCAGAGTCACAAGGTATGCTGCGTTTTATAACAATTAGCAATTAATTTTTCTTAAAAAATACAAAAATAGATTTCTTGTCAAAAAAATCGGCATTTTGGGGCCAAAATGACAAATTGTAATTTTCTAAAGGATTATTTACACAAAATTTCTCAAAAACTTTAGGAGGAAATGACGTTGTATTACTGCATTTTCTAACATTACAGGAAAACTGATTTTCAGGTATGGCCTTCGCGAACGTCGTGGCTCCTCCCTGTCCTCGTAGACGACTAGAAGTTTGCTGCCTCGCGTTTTCCCAATTTCTTTCAGCCATTGGCAATTTTTTTGGTACAATTAACCCCTTGATCTCCACTGCCCCTCCATAATTACGTGTTCCCCCTGCCTTCGACAGCCAAAGGTTTTCCTATTTTGTGGGTACTTTGCTCTTTCATCTTGGGGCTCTGTTTGTAACTTCTCGCCTCTAACCGCTGCCTCCCCGCGCGGGTACTGTGGGTTCAGGTCCTTCTCTCATGTATTCGCACTAATCGTCGATTTATTTTATATAAATCATTTATCAACATCCTGCAGAAAGACGAGTGAGGCGTTGAAAGCACAAATAGGTTATATGTCATAGAAAGTCTTTGGAATCGCCGGACCGGTACACACGCAAATACTGCTACGGGGCAAATGCACTGGGAGTTTGGGGGAAATTTGGCACGTTGCCAACAGTCTAAATATCGTAGCATATCGTAGAAAATAACACGCAGAAGCTTGAGCAAAGATTATTAAGAAGCGTTGAAAATAGATCTGGAGGTAATCTCAAAAGGACGCATCGAAAAAATAGATAACGTAACCCGGAACTGTCAAATTATTGTTATTATTAATATTATGAGTATTAAATGACTTTTCAAGGCCATTTTTGAGTAAATAAAAGTCCAATTGTAGCTTTAAAAATACGTATATTCACTCTCGTCGTGTTGGACCTCGCCGTAGATGTTGTTATTGTGGTGGTTGGGGCCGAGGCGTCGGGCTCCGTAGATGTCACCGTAGTCTTGGTATGGCCCTGAAAAATTCAATTATGGATTGAGCGGAAATTTTCCCATTTTTCTCTATTTTCGTTAATGGTGTCGAAAGTATCTTGCCAAAGGTAAGACTTTCGAAGGGTATTACCCTTCGGCGAATTATCCTGGGGGCGTGACCTTTATCCTGTGGGCCCGTGACCGTACCCCCCTGGGCGGTCCGGCGCGCCCATCCCTTTCCCCGGGGATTTTCCCGGGCTAGGCCCTCTCCGATTTATCGGAACTTTTGGGGAAATTGCAATGAGGACTTATTGTCCCGTTGCCACAGTCCTTTATGGATTGTGCCCTCGAGAAAGGGAAGCGGCCCTTACGAATACCCAAAACCTGCCCGCTATGGGCTTAAACCAGAACCTGTTTTCCTTTAGGCAGAAGGCCTTTCTTTCTCTAACTCTCACCGTTCCCCTTTTATCTCTCTCGTTTATTCTCACTGATAAATACTTGTGACCGAAACTGTCTACCGTATAATCACATGGCAGGATACAAATTCTATTCCACTGAACAATCCTACTACATCTTCTTGTGGTATGCTTCTTGGGTTCGTGAATCTTTCTGGGTCTATGCTCTATGCTAGGCTTGGGGAGTTTGAATGGGCCCAAGGGGCACTGGCGGGAATATAGTGTGGCAGACGAGGAATAATAGTTAGAGAAAGAAAGGCCTTCTGCCTAAAGGAAAACAGGTTCTGGTTTAAGCCCATAGCGGGCAGGTTTTGGGTATTCGTAAGGGCCGCTTCCCTTTCTCGAGGGCACAATCCATAAAGGACTGTGGCAACGGGACAATAAGTCCTCATTGCAATTTCCCCAAAAGCTCCGATAAATCGGAGAGGGCCTAGCCCGGGAAAATCCCCGGGGAAAGGGATGGGCGCGCCGGACCGCCCAGGGGGGTACGGTCACGGGCCCACAGGATAAAGGTCACGCCCCCAGGATAATTCCCCGAAGGGTAATACCCTTCGAAAGTCTTGCCTTTGGCAAGATACTTTCGACAAATGGTTTTGAAACTTTAATTCGGAATAAATTAAGGGGAAATTTGGTAAGTTGTTTGTTGGTTTTTTTGTTGTATTTTTGGTTGGTTACTTTTTGGTGTATATTTTGAAACGTTAAACGAGATTAAGGGGATTTTTTGCATTTTGTGCATTTTTACTACAAAGGAAATTAAAATTAGATGCAAAAATTAAAAGTAATTACTTTAAGATTATTTGAATAATGGCATTAAAAATGGCAAAAAAAATTAAAATTAAAGGAACGTAATAACCAAACGTGAAAATTTTTCGGTGTTCGCAACGCTCCATTACCGTATTTCGGCGGCGGATGCGGGGGGAGGACGCCGTAGATGTTCTCGTGCGCGGGGATTGTGCCGTACATGTTTTCGACCTAGAATAGGATACGAAACTTTAATAACCTTAAAATGCCTCACCCCCACCATGCCGTAGATGTTCTGCTGAGGGGGTGGTGGCGGTCTTGTCTTTGGCCGGGACGGTCCGTAAATTGGGTCGACCGGCCCGTAAATCCCGCCATAGATCGCCTCACCGTAGATGTTCTCGGCGACGGCGCGGCGCACAGTGCCGTAGATCTGAAAATATGAGATTTTGTTAAGTCAATTTAGATACGTTTTCAAAGGCATAAAAAAATGCTGCTAAAGACGCCTACATCATTATGCTGCATATAGTGCTCGGTCTTCATCCGGAGGAAGTATTTGGAGAGCCGGAACAGGGTGATGCTCACGATGATCGAGGAGAGGGCCAAGAAGAAAGCGGATGACCAGAGACCCTAAGCATTGAGGTTGGGATAGGCGGTATGAAGCTGTTCAAGCTGATGCGCCTTCTCACCTCAACCGGCGCGATCGAAGCCTCACAAGCATCAGCAAGAGCCTCGAACTGACCGAGCAGGGTTGGAAGCGCGTTTTGGGCAGGTACGTGATTGATCTAAAAACGTGAACAATTCAAATTCACAGAATTCTTGTTACTTGCCTTATCTTGTGCCAGGGGGCAAACAGCCGAGTGTAGATGCGCATATCCCAAAACCACGGCCGCGTAGATGAACAACGGGCCCGAGACGTAGAGGAGGGCGTGGCCAAGGAATACGGCCGCTACTCCGATTCGGTCGGACGCCGTGCTGCGGTCCATCGGGTGGTAGGAGTTGGCATAGCCGACGGTGCCTGGAGGGTTTCAATGGTTACTCGATTCCTTTGTATCGTTCTCTCTCTCCCTCTCTCTCTCGCGCTCTCTCGCTCTCTCTTTCTCTTTATCTTTGGCACTCTTTTTACTCACCTGCAAGCACCACGAGCATCGTCGGAAGCACGGTGACCAGGATAAAGAACGCGATCGGGGTGAAGCTGACCCGGTGAAGCCAGTTTGAAGCCTAAAAAGGTACTGAGATTCAAGAGATTAAAAAACAAAGCAACGAATTTTCTAGGCTTACCGTACTGTGCAACGCGTAGAACTTTGCCGGCTGACCGTCGGTGATCTGGATTTGGGTCTAAACGTTGAGGCCAATCGGTTACGACATGAAATCAACGCCCACCATGTTGACGGGACGTTCAGTTCGTTCTACTGTAGCGGAAAGTAAGCGCCGAGCGGTGTCCTGGGCCGAGGGGTGGCTGGCCGGGGTGCTTGGGGAATCCTGGAATTGGAAAGCTTGCACGGGAAGAGACGGCTACGCAACGATACGCAGGGCTACACTGGGCATCATACTAGCACCGTAAAGACAGGATACAAGACAGTAAGGGAACTTATGACTGAAAGCGCCACTGTGGAGGAGCACTACGCTACGCTACGCAGGACGCTGGACGGAACATCAGCGCTACGCGATGCTCCGCGTTTTGCAGTAGCCCATCCATCCCGTGTACATAGTGCATCGTAACAAGTAGTCCTTCGGCCTACCGTAGTCGTGCTCGTCGTCGTCTTCTCAGTTGTCGTGCTTACGGTCGAGATCTCCAGTTCTCCAACTTCATTCTGACGATTCCGCACGACTTCGCTGGCGATCTTTTCAACCTCAGCTTCTCCCGACTCCAGGGCATTGCCAGTGAACGTCTTGGCGCCGTGGACCACTGGGCGGCTAGTAATTTCGTCGTCTTCCACTTCTGGAAATGGGTTTTCAAAGTCTTGTTTTCTTGATTTTCCATACCCTCCTCCTCGCTTTGGTCATCTACAGGCGCAGCGGTAGTGGTAGTAATCGTTGCTGTCGTTGTCGTTGTACGGCTAGTAGATGGCGTCGTAGCTGCGGTGGTCGAACTAGTCGTTTCTTGCCATTTTGGGCTCTAAAAGGTTCTTTACTTAAGGTATGATCTTAAAAAAAGCCGGGTTCGGATATTGATATACAGCTAAAACTATTTTCGAGCGTCTGGAAAATTGCTCCGATTACGGTAATTTCTACAGTAATCCTTTTCGCAAAAACCCACAATCCGGATCCCCTTAACCGTCTCGAGCCCTGAAAAGGCTTGGAAGGGAGCGATCGGCTTCTCTTCAGCCGGGTCTTTTTCTTCCTCCCACCGTGATCGTCTACTGGTTGTGCTCGTTGCAGTCGTGGAAGAGGTAGAAGTTGTGGTGGGCTTTTGCGTAGTGACAACTTCTTCTTCTTCCTCCGCCTCTTCCTCTGTTTCTTCGACGTCTGCAGGCTGTTCAGCCACCGCCTCTTCGTTCTCATTTTTCCTAGCCGGAACTCGTCCCTGATTCTCCCAATACCCAACCCGCAGCGGCGTTCTTGAAGTTGTGCGTGTAGGAAGGGATTCTAAATCCACTGATTCGCTACGCTTGGCTGAACTTACCGGTGACGTATTGCACCCTCGGAGCACGCGTTGTCAGAATATAACGATTTCGTGCGCTGAACGCCTCGGCGGCCGAGCGGTAGTAGCTCACCGCTGAAATTGGCTGTCGAACTGGCCGATATAAACCTACAAAAAGCCGGAGTAGTCGTTGTGCTTGTCGACGTCGTGGTCGTGGTTGTAGATGGCGTGGACGAGGTCGTTGTGGTCACTGATGTGCTCGGAGTCGTTCGTTCGGTCGTTGTCGTTCGCCGTGTAGTTCTCGGAGTCGTAGTTGTAGTCGTGGAAGTAGTAGTGGTGGTCGCTAAAAACTTTATTCAGTGCCGGAAAGACAGTATTTACTTGTTGTAGTCGTTGTCGTCGTTGTCGTTGAGGTTGTACTCCTTGGAGTCGTCGACAGGGTTGTGGAGGCCGTAGTTGGTATGGTTCTGGATGGATATATTCTGCTGATCGTTCGATCCCTCGTCGTCAGGATGTGGGAGAACGTGCTCGGCTTTTGGGTTGCTAAAATTTGAAGATGAGATCCAGCTCTTTCTCCGTCTTCCTGTCGCTCTCTCGATCTGACTCTCTCGCTCTCTCTATCTCTATCTCTATCTCTATATCGTTCTCTCTCTCTCTCTCTCTCTCTCTCTCTCTCTCTTACTCTCTCCCTACTTGGCTCCTCCGTAGTCGTGCTCCTCGTCCGGGACGGCGCCATGAAGACGTTCGGTGCCGGGGTGGACATCGGATTCTGGTAGATGGGTCGTTCGCCCGCGAGCGGCAGTAAGGAGTTCGGGGGCACGCTGACCCTCCTGAACACCACCGTCCGTTCCGTCGTCGTCGGGTCGGTCGGTTCGTCTTCGTATTCTTCGGAGGCGAGCTCGATTCTGGAATGCGAGAATCGGGGGATGCTCCACGGTCTATTCAAGCAAGCGAGGCTTAAGCCTAAGCCCAAACCTAAGCTTAAGCAAGCCTACCCTTGCAAAAACCTAAGAAAGAATTACCCATTCGATTCGATCGGGCGCTCAAAGCTAGGCGGTGCCCATTGTACCGTAGGCCTCGGGCGAAGCGGCTGAAATTTACATAAATATCGATATTTCCAGAGTACCGCTATCGTCTCCAGCGGCCGCTGCTGTCTCCATAACTCCGAATTGACGGGTTTCCGGGTTGTCTGAAGCAAATTAAAAAGAAATAGGTATTAAGCTACCGTATCGTCCTCTTCCTCTTCACCCTCATACTCATCTTCTGGAGCTATTGTAGTCGTGGTGGTGCCCGTTTTCTCCGCAGATTTTCGTCGATGGAACTCCACCGGGTAGTTGAGCACGGTCGGGCGTTTTGGGGGCTGAAAAAGGGCTCCGTAGGAAGCTTAGATGATTAGGCTTAGGCTTGGGCTTAGGCTTAGGCTTGGACTTTGGCTTAGGCTTAGGCTAGGGCTTAGGCCTATGCTCAAGCTTAGGCCTAGGCTTAGGCTTCGACTTAGGCTTACTCTTAGGCTCAGGCTTTGGCTTAGGCTTACTCTTAGGCTTAGGCTTAGGCTTGGCTTAGGCTTGGCTTAGGCTTAGGCTTAGGCTTCGACTTAGGCTTACTCTTAGGCTCAGGCTCAGGCTTTGGCTTAGGCTTACTCTTAGGCTTGGCTTAGGCTTGGCTTAGGCTTGGCTTAGGCTTAGGCTTAGGCTTAGGCTTGGCTTAGGCTTAGGCTTAACCTACCAAGATATTTTGCGTGGTCGTCTCCTCTTCATACTCGTACTCCTCTTCAGGCTGCGTAGTCGTACGCTGCGGTACGGTGGACGTACGGCTAATCAGATAGGCGGAAGGCCTGCAAATTACTGTAACATGAACAAAAAAGTACAAAAATGTAAAAGCAGTTTTACGCAAAACCCTCCAAAGTAGCTTAATTTTCAAGTATCCATTCCGAAAGGGACAGTGAAAGGATTTTGAAGGACATAATTAGGACCCAAAAACGACCTGGCACTGGTTTTAGCAGTTGTAGGGCGTACTGTAGTCGTTCGTCTCGTTGTCGTCTCATCGAGTTTCGCTACTGCATCTCCTGGGGCGTCATATTGCATGTAGTCCAACTAAAAAAATCCATAAATTAAGTTTACTAACATGTTAAATAAAAAATATACGCTAGAATCTCCCAAAAATATAGAAATAAAAAAATATATGTTTCTCTACCTCTGCCTTTGGCCGCAACGGGATGGTAATCTGGCGCTTCGGGTTCTCGTATTGTATAGGCCGGATGTGGAGTTTGGCCGGATCCTTAGCATCGTGGAGGACATAAGGTAGTCTCAGCTCCTCGGTCGATACAGAGTTCACAATCGGTCTTGCCGGCGCTTTTGTCGTAGTTGTCGTGGTTGGTGTCGTCGGTTCACTCGTTGGTACCGTAGCTGCAACTTTGAAGGGCTCCTGGTTCGAGTTTTGCTCGGCTTCCGGATCGCGGCCGATTGGGACTGGGTCAGCTACCTAAAAGCACAGTTTTTCATTTAAAAAAAAATTACGAGAAACAATAGCTCCAAGAAGCTGTTATGTGCTTACGGTAATTGAGAAACATGCCATTTCAAAGCTATTTTTTATCTTTTGCAATCCAATTTTTGGGAACCCAGTCTACCGTATCCTCCAGTACTCGACCGTACCACCCTACACTCTGCCGTAACCTAGCGTTGCCTACCGTACTCTACCGGACCATCCGGCGCTCTACCGCAACCTAGCTGATCCTCTGGTTCTCTACCATGCCATCCCGCACTCTACCGTAACCTAACGTCCCCTACAGTACTCGACAATACCATCTCGTGCTCTGCCATCCCTAACGTATCCTGTAGTACTTACTAGGCCGCGCATTACCGTAACCGAGCGTATTCCGCCGTACTCTAACGTATAATACTATCTCGTACCTTAGGTGGCAACGTAGTCTTCTGGAATATAATCGGCTTGTCTTGCGCTGGCATCTCTTCGAAATCCCCGTTATAGTCCGGGTCATTGAACAGGGCGGCGAGTACGCTGGACTCCCGCTTACGCCGCGTACTGTAGAACATACTTAATTTCCAAATGTTGAGAAGCTACCCACAATTTTCCATAATGCTCCAGCGAGTCGACGTACTGCGAGGTGTTCGTTTCCAGCTTTAATCCGCTGTTTAATTGGTGCCAGTAGGTGACCCCTAAATTAAAAAAATGGTTTGAACGATAAAAATACAAATAAAAAGTTGCTTTGGGGTTTAAAGGAACCGGAAACCCACCGGAATATACGAAAAACAAGCTGCTCGCCGCCAGCACGACCCAGGCGACGAGGAAGATGGTAAGGTGGAGCGTGAAGGACTGGGCGCTGGTTGGGTGGGCCTGAAAAGTGACTTACAGCTGGTTAGCTAAGGTTAAGGTGGGCTAGCCTGGGCTCAGGCCTAGGCTTAGGACTAGGCTTACGCTTAGGCTTAAGCGTAGACGTAGGCTTAGGTTGGGCTTCGGTTTGGGCTTAGACCTGGCTTATGCTGCAGTTTGGGCTTATGCTTAGGCATAGGCAAAGGCTTCGCCGCAAGCTTCAGATTTCAAAAACATACCTGATACCTCCGGCCTCCACATTTGCCATAGAATCGGCACACTGTAAGTGTGATTGCCGAAATTATGGCGGAGATAGCGAAGAGGAAGAGGATGAGCATGAGGCTGAGGAGCACGGGCTGCGACGCCGCATGTTCGGAGATGAGTGACTCGTCGAGAAGGGTTCTCTAAAGTCAACGATATACGGTATACGATACGCGGTATACGGTATACGGATACGGGATAGGTAACGCCATAGGTATAATTAACACTGTTTTGTCTTATTTGTCCCTTTAATTTTTTGCGGTCTAGCTATCCACGATTGCTTTGCCCTAAGAAATCCTAACATCCGTGTGGACTGTATCAAGCCTATCCATATATCCGTTTCCATGCCTACTGACCCATTTCCCCCCTTTTTTGGTTATGCTTGCAAAACCCGGGGGGAAGCGGTAGTCGGACCACTCGCCAGCTCTTCGAGAGCGCTTTTTGCGCATAGCGCCCCTGGGGCTTTGACAATACAGACTCCTACCCCCCGCGGAACGGCCATACAAGGAGAGAGAGAGAGAGAGAGAGAGAGAGAGAGAGAGAGATCTACAACCTCTACTCAACAAGCACCTACATACACACAAAACCACTTCAGAATAAGGGCCGATGCGAGGGCTGTTGACTCGGGGGGTGTTCCGGGGGCATACATAGAAACTCGCCCAAAACAATGAGGTATCCCCCCCGGGCTTAAGCCGACAGTCAGGACACGGTGAGCTAAGGAATCAGAGATTTGATAGATCATGCTTTTCAAAACAAAAATTTTAGGCTTCCAGGGTTTTGGGCTCTCTCTCCCTCTCCCTCTCTCTCTCACTTTTGCTTCGCAAATTTGATGGGAGCGTGGGTTTTTGAAACTTCCTAGTGTCTTTATTTTGGAGGTCAGCTGCTTGGAAAGATGCCAAAAGTGCCCTTATCGCTTTTTTCCAGTACTTCCAAATCCTTAACTAAAAAAATCTGCTGAAATTACTTTACTAAATACTAACATTCCATTACACTACAAAACGCGTAGACACAAAATTGCGGCAAATTTTGGTCTCGATTTCGAATATGTTACGCTAAAAACGCGCTCACCGAATTTAACTACACTTTCCATTAACTAAAAAGACTTTGAAGCTATTTTGCGTCACATTCTACGTTACAGTACCTTCCGTAAGGCTACACAGTACTTTATGCAAATCGTCTAAAAAGTTCCTCCAGACCTATACCTACATATACCACATTCCGTTACGCTCCAAAATCCGCCATTCCCAACAGGCGCGTTAATCCCCCCCCAGGTGAGATCCAGGGAAAACGGGATATCGTCTCGCAATGCTACACCAACCCCGAAAAAACCGCAAAGATCCTCTGTTCTCCCTTTCTCACCGTACCTAGGCGGTTGGCTGTCGAAAATTGGGGCAAATAGCCGAGCGGGTGAGCCTTATAGGGAGAGAGTGAGAGAGAGACAAGACAAAAAGTGGCTGTTGAAAGTGAGCCCGAGCTCGAGGAGCACGAGCCCCGCAGGGGTGGGCAAGGTTTTGCAGCGGCAAAATCCCGGCAGTCCATTTTCCGGGGGTCCGGCAGTCCATTTTGGAAGGGAAAAAGCGATTTTTGGCGGGGCGGCTACGCCGCCATACTTGGGTTACCATTTGATGGCGCAATTAGATAGATTCCAAGGACGTTCACGGTCTAGGAGCGACGCCAAATTGTGGATCTCATTGTTCCGCGCCGAACCATACCCTATATGTCCCGTCGGCAGTCCGTTATCCTTGAGCTGTTCGAACGGATATATGGAAATAGGGTTATTTTATAGGGGTTTCCGCTCTATTTTCGTAATATGTTAATTTTTCACGCTGAAAGTGACCCCAGATTGTAGAGCTTGTTATTCCACATCGAACCATACCTCACACGGCCCACCGGCAGTCCGACTTCATGGACATGTTGGACTGCCGGAACGGAAATACTAGTTTTTCGAGGTTTTTCCGGCATAATTCCGGAATACGGTAAGTTGAGGGCCTGAGAGTGGCACCCAATTGTAGATCTCGTCATTGCGCGTCGAACCATACCCTACATGTCCTTTCGGCAGTCCGGCTTCGAGGAAATGTTGGACTGTCGGATTTGAACGCGCGTCTGCAAAATGTTTGCAGAATGTAAATCGCTCTTTTTACCTCCTAAATCGGACTGCCGACGCTTCGTTTTTCCAGGCCTTGGATAGAACAGCTTACGGTCCATCTCCTCCGAAAATTTCAGCCAAATCCATAGAGAAATTCTCAAGATATGATTTTTAGAAGAAACTCGTAAAATGTGCTCCTGCAAAATGGCCTCAAACTCGGCAGTCCAGGATCTCATGCCTCATACGTTTTCTTAAGAAGTCTGATACACCAACAGATAGCCCCAAGGCTGAGCTACAAAATGAGCTATCTGCCATCCCGGTGCGCTGTTGGGGCCCCGAGATATGGGCCCCTAAAGGGTCCCGACCCGGTCCTCAAAAACCCGTTTTTTTCATTTTGCAGACGCGGGTTCAAATCCGGCAGTCCAACATTTCCTCGAAGCCGGACTGCCGAAAGGACATGTAGGGTATGATTCGACGCGCAATGACGAGATCTACAATTGGGTGCCACTCTCAGGCCCTCAAATTACCGTATTCCGGAATTATGCCGGAAAAACCTCGAAAAACCAAGTTTTCCGGTCCGGCAGTCCAACATCTCCTCGAAGCCGGACTGCCGAAAGGACATGTAGGGTATGGTTCGACGCGCAATGACGAGATCTACAATTGGGTGCCACTCTCAGGCCCTCAAATTACCGTATTCCGGAATTATGCCGGAAAAACCTCGAAAAACCAAGTTTTCCGGTCCGGCAGTCCAACATCTCCTCGAAGCCGGACTGCCGAAAGGACATGTAGGGTATGGTTCGACGCGCAATGACGAGATCTACAATTGGGTGCCACTCTCAGGCCCTCAAATTACCGTATTCCGGAATTATGCCGGAAAAACCTCGAAAAACCAGGTTTTCCGGTCTGGCAGTCCAACATGTCCATGAAGTCGGACTGCGGGTGGGCCGTGTGAGGTATGGTTCGATGTGGAATAGCAAGCTCTACAATTTGATACCGCTCCCATAGCTGGAAATCATCGTATTCCGGAATTGATCCGGAAAACCCCTCAAAGGGCATTTTTTTTCATTTAAAACCCCCAAAATGTCTCGAAGACGGACAGCCGGTTGGGTATGCAAGATATGGTTCGATGTTCGATTCTACAATTTACTGGGCACCCAAGACCCCCCAATGCTTACTACATACAATAATTCAAACATTCAAACAAATGCTTCTTTCCGTTTTCCCGATGAAATATTTGTTACCTGCAATGTTGCATTGTTAAAAATCTCAAATTTTTTCCGGCGCTCCGCGCCGTAAAAAATCCCCCCGCCCTCCCGGCAGTCCCTGCCCCGCCACCAAAATCCCGGCAGTCCCCATTTTGCAGATCTACCTACCTTGCCCACCCCTGCGAGCCCCTTGCTTTTTTGGCGGGCTAAGAAAAAGGGCAGGAAATGGACGGGGAATTGGGGCACTGGGCTTAACAGACAACCTAAAATCTCTGGGGTAGGAGAAATCACAAAAATCAGGTCATTAGCCGGTGGAGAATTGGGTCGGTAAGGGATATGGGTTTAAGGGTTTTGTCGCTTAATAAATAAAGGAATGTAAATTATATAACATGTTAAATATACCAAATAAGGCAGCAAAATAGCTGCATGAAAAAGTTAAATTTTCGGTCAATTAAAATTGAATTCAAAAAGTTATAAGGGTTTAAAAGAAAATCAAGGGAGGGTTTTTCAACTTTTCAAGAATTTTAGCTTTTTCTAAATGGCTCACCGATTTTTAGGCTTTTTTAAAAGCAGAGAAAACAAAGATTTTAAAACTATGTAAAAACATAACGAAATTGCCATCAAAAAGGAAAAAAACCAATTAGCAAGTTTCGGAAACTCTGAAAAACAACGCACCGTTTGCAGCAGCTTCTCCTCGATACTCCGCCGTGTCTCGTCGTCGTATTTTAATGTAATAAAGTCGACAAAGCCCTGCGCCAGGCTGGTTTCTGAAATTTTAAAATTCTCTAAGCTAATTTTCATAAAATTGCTAAGATGTAAAAATCACCCACCCCTCATTTCTGCAAGTTAGGATGATTTTTTCTCGAATAAATATAATTTTGGCCGACCCGTTCAGCGCATCTGAATTCAAGAAAAAATTGCACAAAAAAATAGTGAAAACGCATAGAAATTCATGATGACCATGCATAGAAAAAAGAAGACGCTGAAGGCAGAAGTCGAAGCCAGGCCCGAGCCTATGCTTAAGCGTAAGCCTAGTCCAAGCCTACACTTAACTCCAAGTCTTAGCCAAGCCTAAGCCAAGCGTAAGCTTAAGCCAGGCTGTGGAAAAGCAAAAAATCACTAAATTAGCATCCATCCAGAGTCATTTCAAGTGGAAATCCCAACCCGGTTAGCCTGGAAAAGGTCGAACCCGGGGCTGTGGGCAGCGTGCCCTCATGAAAATTGGCTGAGATTGCGGCTGTCGCGGGGCGGGCGGGATCGAACCGGATTTTTGGGGAGCATATGCAAATTTTGGCGCATCCGAGGCATGCCGGTCGAGATTAAGGTATCTCCCGACCACTGGATTTTTCTATCTCTCCCCATCTATCTCTCTCTCTCTCTCTCTCTCTCTCTCTCTCTCTCCTCCCACCTCTCTCTCTCGCTCTCTCTCTCTCTCTCTCTCTCTCTCTCTCTCTCTCCCTCTTTCGCTCTCTCACTCTTTGGTCGTGTTTATCGAAAACGTAATGAAACGCAATCTACAAAACATCGATTATGCCGCTAAAACGGAGCATTAAGGATAATACAACTATTTGCATACACGCTGTCCTCCCAAGAATTTGGGTCAATTTCCGCGGGGTTATTACGGTCGAGCTGCTGCCGTGAATGGCCATTCGGGGGTTGTAAACCCCGGGGGATGAGCGCGCGGAGCAGCAAATAGACTATGAAGATTAGGATTCGACACGAAAATTAGCATACGGGGAGGATAGAGAAGTTTATTGGGGAAGTTCCGAATTTTCCTAGTCTATGCCGAAAAAAATCTAGAAAATCTAGAAAATCCGGGCATGTTAGCAGCGATTCTTTAGGAATTCGTAGAAACGAGAAAACCAAGAAAGTCACAGTTTCTGGGGTTAAAATAGTCATGAAAATCGGGCGGGCTAGCAGCGATTCTTTGGGAATAACCCAACGACGTAGACGTAGAGAAAGTGGGACAATTGGCTTTGGGGGTGGAAAGCTCCGGGTTAACGGATAGAAAAACTCTCTGATCCTTGAGAGTTTCGGAGACTTAAAAACGACAAGCAACTATGGTGTAGCCAGAAAAATGAACTGCATCGATTCTACAGTTCAAGAAGAGCACAACAGCACGACCAGAAAGTTCACGCAGTGCGTAAGGCTAAGTTTAAGCCCGGGAAATCCGACGACCACCCAGATCTCGGCCTCCTGCTAGGGGAACTAAACGCAGAAGGGGGCAGCAATTGAGCCCCCAAGCCATAGTACAAAAAAGGGAAGGTGATGGGGAGAGAGAGAGACAGAGAGAACGAAAGAGAGAGAGGGGAGGTTGAAAATATCGGGCGGAGCCTAGCCGCGCGCTTCCGACCTGTTCCTGGACCCGACGCCCCCTTCCACAACCACACCGCTGCTGCCACCAAAAAATTAATCGCCCCCGAGCCGGTCGGGCACCGTAGGGCGTTTAAAGGGACCGGGAAGGCAGGAAATTAACGAGGGGGCTCTAGGCCTGTAGCCGAAATTCAACATGGTTTGCCGAGCCGTATTGGTATTTCCTAAAAGATAAGCAAACCGGATTTTCGGCGCAAGTATAAGGAACTTTAAAAGGGCGCAAATTCAGATAAAAGTGGTAGAAACCGCAACACGATATTTTACAGTATTCTAGGCTATAAAACGGGGCCCGGGATCAACGTAGACAACATTACGAAGTTTACGCTCATATATGCTACCCTATGTAGCGTATGTAGCATACTATGCATTGCCTTTCACGACACCGAAGCGCACTCTAAGGTACCTTGAGATACCGTAGGATACTTGAGCACTGTGGTGCCGTATTAAACCCAAAATTTTAAGGCACCTAAGCGCAGATTTAGGATATTGCAGCTTGGGAAATGGGACAGAGAGAGAGATAGCGAGAGAGAGAGAGAGAGAGAGAGAGCGGGAGAAAGAGGGAGAGAGAGAACGAGAGAACGAGAGCCAAAACCGGAGCGAGGACAAAGGATGAGCATGATCTAAAGCAAAAAAAAGCTATAAAAAATATCTAAATAACTGCTCGAAACGCATCAATCATTATCTGGGGCGCGTGAAAGGCGTCGTCGGTCGTGACGCCCTCAGAAAGAAGCAAAAGCAGAAGGCCGGGGACCCGAATCTAGAAATGATAGGGGGCGGAGGTAGATACGGTTCGAGAAAGAGAGAAAGCGAGAGAGAGAGAGAGAGGGAGAGAGACCGAAAAACACAACAGGCTGCAGAAGCTCGAGGCGCGAGCCTAAGCCCCACGCGCAAACAATGCGCGTTTAGGGCCCGAGGAAGGGCCCACACATGGTTTGAGGGCCCCGTGAAAACCTCCCCACCCGCCCGGTCCGTGGGCCCTACCGTGAAACCGACGTCTTCTTGTGGCGTGAAAGAGAGAGAGTGAAAGAAGCTCCATCATTCCATAGGGCCACGCGGGGGAGGGGATTCCACTTCAAAACATCCCCCCACCGGAAAAACGGCGGATCGGCACTTGCACAAAGGCACAGACGCCGGCAGATCAAGAATCTGTGGCGTGCGGGTGGTCAAAAGAAAAATTAGAATTCCGGCCATGATACTGACAGCGAAAATCGCGAAAGGCAGAACCCCGACAAAATCCCATCAAAAGCAAAAACCGGAATTTTGCATGTCGGGATTTTGGTTGTCGGGATTCTGACTGTCGGGATTTCGGCATGCCGGGATGTTGAATGTCCGGGACTTTTGTGGTCGGAATTTCGCTGGTCAATTGCCGCTGGTTCTTGCTGTTTACCGATGTCGGGATCCTTATTTTTTTCTTGGTTGTCGGTATTTTGGCGCCAATATTGGTTTTCGGGATTTATGGGTTGTCGGCATTTTGCTGCTAATCTTGGCTTTCGATTTGGGGTTGTCGTCATTTTGGCTCTGGAATTCTGGATGCCTTTGTTCCGGAAGCCGAGGTTCTGGCTGGCGGAATTACAATAACCGGGAGGTTCAAAATCTGAAAAATTGTCAAGATCTTACCTTAAGGCTGGAAGGACGATTTAATGCTCGTCTCATTTTCAGTTGTCATCACTCTTTCTGTTGCGCAGTTGTATTTTTTGCTCATTCCAAATTTGCATAGTGAATCAGCAGACCATAAATTTATTATGACTAGTATTTTGCGGGGGTGGGTTTTGAAAAATGGGAGCGGCACGGCAATTCCAAAAAAATACATATTTTCCGCTTGGGTACGGTCAGGAACGTGAAATCTTCAATGTCACAAAATCAAGGCAAATTATTAAGTGGAGACTTCAAAAACAAGTGAAAGATATTTCGTGGGATAGGGAAAAGGCACTGGCAAGACAAGCACAAAGTACAAAATGGGGCATATGCAAATTATGACAATATGAGTGGTGTTTATAAATGCATTTTTAGAATCAGGATCGGGGTGGAGTGGTGGCACAGGATATTTGGATTTTTGGAAGGGTTAAGAAAATTAAAAAGGGGAAATACAGTAGTTTGCTTGGACCAAGGCTTGGGCCTGGGCTTAGGCTTAGGCTTAGGCTAAGTCTTAGGCTTAGCTTAGGCTTAGGCTGGGGCTTAGGCTTAGCTGAAGCTTAGGCTTAGGTTTATTGTAGTTTCAAAGAACATTTTTGTCAATTAATTCAACCTTGAGTGGATCAAATATTTGCAGCAATGGGTGAGGAGTTGCCGGCTGTCGCTGGACGAGGTTTTTTGCCTTAAAAATTTAATAAAACCCGAATTTTACAAAATATTTGCTATTATTAAGATGGAAGAAAGCAAAAAACTACGTATTTTACGGTAATTTTCGATACCTGGTATAGATATCCAAACCATATTGGCCCTCCTCCGGGAATTCGACCCATATTGATACCGTATCACCTCGGATTTGGCATCTAAAATTGATAAAATATAAATCAATCATCGCTTAATTTTTCATTCTAGTCTTGCTTAACATTAAGGTTATTTAAGGTACCATCCACTTACTTTGCGCACGGGGCCAACGTTCGGTCGTCGGTCCGGTTTCTATGCAGAGAGGCGACAAATTCGGAGAGTGGCTTGGTCATTCTAAAGTGAGTCATGTATAGGAGATAAGCCTAAGCCTAGGTCTAAGCCTAAGCCGAAGCCTAAGCTTAAGCCCAACGACTTACTTAAACCGAATCTCAGCCGTCCGCCCAGTGTTGATAATTGGCTCAGGGTGGGTGACGGGCAGAATTCCGAACAATCTTCGTGCCTAAAAATGGGATGTTTATTTCCTGATTTTTTCCGGTTGCATATAAGCTAAATAACAGAGGTCTAACTTACCTTTGCGGGCCCCCATTCGCCACTCGCGCACTCCGGAAGTGGAACCATAATTACGGAAAGTTCCTCGCACATGATCTAAACAAAAGAAAATTAAACCGCGAGAGAGAGAGAGAGAGAGAGAGAGAGAGAGAGAGAGCGAAAGAGAGACAGAGAGAGCGAGAAAGATAGAAAGAAACAGGAGAGAGCGAGAGAGAAAGAGGGAAGCGCAGAATTAAATTTTGTAAGGCAGATACAGCTAAAGGAAAGGAGAGTGAATTTCAAGGTATCGAAATGTTTACCTTAAATTTGCATACGCTCTTGAATTTGATGGGCTGCCCGGTGAGATAGTGGCCTAAAAACAATCCTACTATATATAAAAAAAATAGTGTCTGTGTGTGTGTGTGTCTGTGTGTGCCACTTTGCATCCACTTCCGGATGGCTGTCCGGAGGATATCTCGATAGGGGATGAATTTTAAGGTATGTATGATACGTCATTAGATGCGTAATGGCCTGGAGATGACTGCACGCATATCAGATTTAACAATATCACCTATTTTCGACATTAAATTTAAGTTTTTGTAAAAACATCTTTGTTAGGAACAATTAGCGTAGACCGGAAGTGGGGATTCGATTATATAAAGGGGTTTAAAAGGTAGTTTTTCTTTTTTTGTCATCTGAATTCAGGAAAATTATGCAAAGTGAAGGATAAAACGGGGTCAGACGGGGCCAGGGTTGAAAAGCCGCGAAGCGGCTTTTCAACCCTGGTCGGTTTTAAGAAAATTTGTTGGTATTACCTGAAGACACGGAGTTGGCAAAAATATCGAGCAACAGTGGTCGTGGGGCGGGGGCGTGCACTCGGAATGAGACAACCTAATTTGGATTTTAACAATTTTTCTGGGCTGCTGACCTTGTCGCCGACGGACTGCATGACAAACCGCTTCAACGACATGCCGTTCATGGAAGTGTCCTCGGAATCGTAGAGCCTAGAAAATGGCAATTGCATATTGATTGACTTGGCAAATTCCACAAAGGTCTCTGCTGGCTGATCCAAAGCTTACTTGAGGTTATAATGAAAGATCAGGTCCTCGCCACCTTTTTCTGGTAATCGGATAGAGACGGAAGCGGCGCCGGTACGATCGGTCTGGAAAAGTTGCATATTTAGCACAGCTAGAGAGAGAAAGAGAGAGAGAGAGAGAGAGAGAGAGAGAGAGAGCAACAACTTACATATATCTGGCTCTCCAGCGTATCGTCAGTAAAGGCCAGTCCATACTTGAAGAATAGCGACCGGACGAAGGGGATTCGCTCGAACTGGGAGAGCGATAAAGGTCTTGGTAGGAGCTGCCACGATGCATCGGACGGGAAGAATTCGTAGATGAATTCCTAGAAAAATTCCATTTACCACTTTGAATTTTGAACTTTAGATAAAAGGTATAGAAAATTTACGTGTTAGCGTTTTTAAGGGATCTGGTAGGCAAAAATTCAACCCGCTTCGATTTAGTCCAAATCTATTCGATTCAATTCAGATTTTTACTTTTACTCTAGATACAATTTATTGCAAACCACAATTTCCACTAATTTAAGCCCAAAATACTGTAAACTTCGAAAGTTAGGTCAAAAAACGTATGGTCACGTAGCTCAAGGTTGCCAAATCATACCTCCGGATCCGTCATGAAGTAGTGATCGTCATATTCGTATCGGAGATTTCCATCGGCCCCTTTTCCATTCAACTCTCCCTCTTTGGCATTTCTAAAGGAGCCGGTAACCGTGGGTTCCTAATTTCCAACATACACCAAATGACGGGCTCCCCAGTTGCACTGGACGAAGCGCCAGTTTCCGTCTAAATATGCGGCATTCCAGGTATTCCGGAACCGGTAGCTGCCCTCGTCGAATCTAAAAAAATATAGAGGGGTGCGTGGAGTTAAAGGGAGCATTCCAGTCATTTTTAACAAATTTTTAAGGTTGGAATTTTTGTCTTCAAGGGTCCATTAGAGTGCTTAATGCCGGAGTTTAACTTAAAATCGCACCCGCATTCAAAAATTAGGGTAAGAATTTTTTAAAGGGAAGGTGTCGAAAAGATTTTTCTACAGCTTTTGCCTTTAACGACCCTTTAAAAAAAAGATGAGCTAAAACAAGACACTTAAAGGTTAGGTATTCTTCCCTTCAACGGCCCTTTAAAACTAACTTCAGCCCCGGCTGATATCCCGCGCTCTTCGAGAAGCCCTTGATGACGACGCTGTGCAGGCCGGCGTAGCTGGAATTCATGGATTTTCGAAGACTCGGAAGTGCACCCACCTGCACAACCGCTTGAAGAGCACGTGATAACTCTCGGTGCCATATTTGATACCTCTGAGGAGTCCCATCGGGGAATCACTATCCAGCCCCTCCTCGAACACCATCGTGTTCAGATTTTTGATAGTGATCCACCGGTAGATGGCTCTAAAAAGACGATGTATAAGGTTTTAAAGGGCATGGGAAGTATGCAAAGACTTCTATAGCTATGTATACTTAGTTTTTGGGTGTCAAGGGAGTGGAAGGACTGGATTCAACCCTTTTCCCGCCTAGGTCTCGACAACTTAATATACGTAAATCCGATGGATTTTCATGGCAACGCCCTACAAACGATTACGACACATAATTCAAGAGCTGTGGATCCAGAACTCCTTCAAGTAAATGCACGTGTTAAAGGCACCGTGACAGCTGTTTCAATCACCTTTCAATTCCTATCAATTGAAAGAAATTGCCTTAAAGGGAGCGTGACAGCAGGAAAAGCCTACCTAGCCTTGTCAACGTCGCAAGTAGCGTTGTAGGTCAGAATCCGAATTAATTCAGTGAATGAGGTGAATTCGGACTGCGCGATGTCGATTGCAACCTGGTCGATGGACTCGAAAACCTGAAAAATCGGTAAAAATACTGTTCTAACGCTTTCTCTCTAGCTCGCACTCTCTCTCTCTCTCACGCTCTCACCTCAGTCGATGTATAAACCATCCGCTTCGGGCATGACGGCGGAGCAGGAGGTGGCGGGGTGGCTGGATAGGAAGGCAGTGCCTGATCGGCCTCCGAGAATCCGTTCTACAACAAATTACTGTCGATCAAAAACCAGCCCACCTGCATCCTACTCTGCTTGAACAGCTCCAACATCTCCCGCGCTTGCACATCTACCAGCTCGGCGGTTTTGTGCCGCTCTCGTTCCTGAAAATAAGGTATTGATATTTTTCTGCTTAGGACACAAGATTCAAAGTCACGGAGACCTCTTAAATGATACCTTTCTCCTCTGGGTGATCGTCTCCAGCTTCTTCTCCCGCTTTATCGTCAGCTGGCGGATCAGGTCGTCCTTTTGTAGCTTGTTGGCCTGGCCGCGCTCGAACTTCTTGGCAAAGTCGGCGAGGGCTTGCTCCCATTCTTCCTAAAAATAGGGTTAAAAGTCAACGAATTTCTAGCGGGTAGCAAGCTGGTCGAATGAAGGTTAACGTACTCTAGTGTCCTTCTCGAACCGCTCGTGCTCAATCAGGCGCTCATCTCCGAAATTCTTGTAGAGCTCGTCCTCCTGGCCACGGTGGATGAGCTCGAGGCGGGTTTGATCGTCGTAGTCCTGAAAAATGAAGGTAACATTCTTGTGCTCTAGTCGATCTCTCTCTCTCTCTCTCTCTCTCTCTCTCTCTCCTCACTTACCACAACATATTTCGCTCCCTCGTGCATTATTTTCGGGTACGGCTTCGCCACGCCGGTCGCTTTAATAGCGTGCGCTATCTTCATGTCATTAATTCCGGCATCACTAGAAAGTTAAAAATTAGCTGATAAAGTGTCTAAAATTACATTTTATATTGTTTCTCAGCTGCGCGCTCCTTCGGACTGCCGTTCGCCTTCTTTTCCATCGGCAAATCATGCGGGCTGGCGATGGGGACATGGTTGGAGCAGTACACTTCCTAAAAATAAATCTTAATATACCTGTTAACAAATCTAATGTATAGTTATAATGTTTTTAATAGATTTTTAATGCCAAAATGTTATTAAAATTTTTCAAGTACGGGACTATACGAGATTGAAGGGGGAAAAGACGATTTTCTCCTGCTCAAGCCACCGCCATCGCCCTTCCCCCCCCCCCGCTAGTGATTCAATACCGAAATAGCCTAATATCTTTTTTAGCGCTTAAAAACCACATTTAAAACAATTTTTAAAAAAGATAATTAAAAAATTACCGGTGCACTCCCAGTTGGTTTATCCTCCCCCCGCTATGATACATATACCCCTGTTTGCAGCTTCGTTTTGAAAGTTTAGAGTTTCATTTCTCTAGATCCCTGTCCTTTCCCTTTTTCCATCCAACGCCCCAAATCTGGCCGGAAATCGGGCCCGGAAAACCCGAAGCTTTTGGCCGTTTGGGGGGGGGGGGTGGAATTGTTTGCGCCGGGTATCGGAATCGTGTTGAAGGGCCGATCCTCCTGGACACAAGAACGAACAGACGGACAGACAGATAGACGCACTGAAAGAAACACACAAACCGACACGGACCCCCGCTTTTTCCGCTACCCCAAGACGCCTATAAACGGCTCGTCGGCGGGCGGAAATGGGTGAAGCTTTTGGAGGTGATCAATGGATCCGAGAACAGGGTTTGGCTAGAGGGACGTGGATGCTGGATTTCTGCTTACCAGCGGTCGTTTTTAGGTGCTTTTGGAGTTTAGGGACGGGACCTAACTAGTTCGATAGAGAAAAAAATTCTGAGCAACATCCCGTTTTCATAAAGTGCTGATCGAAAAAGTGTTTTAGAAAATTTAATTTAATTAGAAGCGTTCCCGGTATCCGGACCCTTGAGGTGATTTGCGGTGATTTGCGGCGGTCGATTGCCCCTGCTACATGGGGACTCCACGCGCTATGGATCCCGTCCTGGGCAGGCCAAGTGGGGTTTGAGTGCAGTTTACCCCCCCCCAGCCCTAACTTTTCAGCCATACGTCCTATTAATGCGCCGAGTATCTCAAAATGTTCGCCGTGGTCGAATTACTATAAAAAAGTTGTTTTCTTACGGCGAAAATTGCAAAAAAAATTTTTACACGATTTTGAAAGTTGAAAAGATTAAGCCGCTATGCTTCGATGTACTAGGAGTCTAAAACTCAAATATTTTTATTTTCCGCGATTTTTTTCGGCTCAAACGTACTGTAGGCTTATTCTACAGAGCAAGAGCTACATTTTGGTACTATTGACAGCTCTGTACGTCAAAAGATAGCCGAGATACGAAAACTCACTTTGGAACAGCAAAAATTAACTAACTAATTAATTAACTAAAGAAAACCCAGACTTATAATTGTTATAAAAATTTTTCTAACAATTTTTGATGTAAGAAAACAACTTTTTTATAGTAATTCGATCACGGCGAAAATTTTGAGATACTCGGCGCATTAATAGGACGTATGGCTGAAAAGTTAGGGCTGGGGGGGGGGGGGTAAACTGCACTTAAGCCCCAAGTGGCTAGTGCGTCGGCCTACGAAGTTTTTTTGGTCTTTTGCCAAAGTTCGATTCTTATTTATCGTTAACTTTTTGCTTTTTTGCTAATTAAAATTTTATGCGCCGATAACCGGTTCAAGAACCAAAAAGCAAACGGTTAGCCAGCGCGAAGATTCGAACCCGAGGCAAAAAATGTTAAAAAGTTGGTAGGCAAGCGCGGTACCAATACGCCAATGCAACCTGTGATGGTGGCCTTGGCGGAATGTTATGAATGGCGCCTTGCCCAGCGCCGAAAACGACGTGAACCGATGAAATGGACCCGAAAACTAGAAAAAAAGCGCGAATTTCAAATTAAATTTTCTAAAATTCCTTTATCGATCAGCACTTTTTGAAACTGGTATGGTGTTCAGAATTTTTTTCTCTATCGAACTAGCTAGGTCCCGTCCAGTAACTCTAAAAGCACCTAAAAGCGACTCCTTGTTAGGTTTAGGCTTAGGCTTAGGCTTAGGCTTAGGATTTGGCTTTGCTTCAAGCTTAGTACTTGGACCTTAGCCTTTACAATGTATTTGGAGCTTTGAAGAAAATGCATTAATGAAACCAATCAGAGCAGATTCAGATCGAAAACGCTGATGAATCTATAAGAAACTTAGACAGGATCTGGATGGAGCAGGCTAGCAGAGATTCTTTACGATTCAAGGTGAAAGGCATGCTAGCAGAGATTCTTTAGGGCAGGGGGAGGGAAAGCTAGCAGAGAAGCTTGAGGAGCTGATCCAAGGGCGGCCTAGCAAGGAGCCTTACAAGGACCTGAGGCGGAAGGGAAATTAGCAAAAATTCTGATATACCTATCGGTAAAAGGCAAGCTGGCACAGATTTTTTTGAGTCTCTAGGGCCAGGCCAAGCTAACAGAGATTTTCAAGAGCTCAAGCGGAGGGCACGCTAGACGAAATTCTTTGGAAAACGTGATTTTCCGTTCTCGACTGCCAAGATTTCCGATTTTCCGATTTTTTTCTCGCTTGCCTTGTCCTCATGGTTATTCCTGTTGTTGCAATACGTCTTCAAAGCCAGCCTCGTCCCACAGATATAACATTTGAAACAACCGTTGTGGAAAAACGACGAGTCTTTCAGCGGGCCCACCTAAACAAATAGTGGTATATTTGGGACCAGGTTTAATTGGAGGGGATCGAGACAATGGGGGGGGGGACCGAAAAACAGCAGGAACCGACGGTTTTTCCGTGATTTCCGGATTAAGTTGGTTGTTTGTTTTTGGTCTCGCTGTATATCGCAGTCGCTTTCTTTCTCTCTGTCTCTTTCTGTCTCTCTCCTTCTCTCTCTCTCTCTCTCTCTCTCTCTCTCTCCTTTCTCTCTCACCTTATCTGTCGGATACACCTGTTTCCCACATCGATGGCAGCTCAGCTTCGCCATCCTGAAAATTTGCATGCTAATTTCAAAACATCAAAAATAATTTTTTGAAAAATCAAAAAATTAAAAATGTTCTATATATTCTAGCAGCCAAAAGATATATACAGTATAAGCGACGGATAGTCGACTATGTGCTTGATGGTTTCCGGTCGGGCGGTGAAGGGGAGGAAAGAACCTCTTCCCCTCTGCCATTCAACCAACCGACAATACAGCCGTCGATAGTACTCGACCGGAATGAATATATTTGATCGACAAGCAAATGGTGGGGGTGATAAACAACGAGTGGATGTGGATGGAGCCGGAGTTTTAAAAGATGCGGGAAGTTTTAAAGAGAGAAAAAGAGACAGAGATAGTGAGAGAGTGCGATAGAGGCGAGAGATAGCGAAATGGAAATCAATAGGCATAAAGTTACAGAAGAAAGAAGAATTGGTTAAGGAAGATAGCGGAAAATACGGAAGAAGCGCGAGAGAAATATATTTAGCGAGAGGGAGCAAGAGAAAGAGAGAGAGAGAGAGAAAGAGAGACAGAGAGAGAGAGAGAGAGAGAGAGAGAGAGAGAGAGAGAGGGAAAGATAGAGAAACATATCTGGCGAGGGAAGAAAGATAACCGACGAGAGATAGAGAGAGAGGGAAAGAGAGCGTGAGAGACTGAGAGACAGAGAGAGAGAGAGAGAGAGAGAGCGAGAGAGATAGCCAGTTGGTATGAGACACCCAAGAAAAATATAAAAAATGTCCAATTCCACCCTTCTCCAGTCCTTTAAAGGAACGCGCAAGGCAGGACTACGGTTTTTTTCCTTGCGTAATTCATTAGGACGTCTTTAAAATAGAATAGAACTCCCGGGTTGCGTAGCATTCTCGAAGCAAAATTATAACAAATTTATAGCCAAAAAAATTACCCAACTCGCTCCTCCCGTTAAAACCCAGAAAATCCAGCCAGCTGGAGCAAATTTTGTTGCAAGGCACCGGATGCGCCTGTAGCCCCCTGGGGCTATTGTCCCAAGCCTCACTCTCCCCCTCCTATTTGCTAGAGATCCGATCCCAAGATGGCATCCGGTCGGAGCCGGAGTGTCGCGTAGTTAGGCGGGGCTCGATGCACATTGCTCGCATTCCGACAAATTAGAGCGGAAAAAACGGGGATGGGGTATGGATACCCCCCGAGGCGATTCGAGCTCGGGATAAACAACATTGGATGAGTCATTTAAAGGGTTTTGGAAAGCAGATTGGAGTCGAGATAAGGAAACGATCTGCAACTCTCTTAATGTTGAAATCTAAGAACGTCGAAATTTAACAGAAGAAAATCTCCCAAATTCCATACAAAAATGCCGACACATTGAAATGTCGGCATTCGGCAATTTCCAAAATATTGTATTGTATGTTTATCAAAGGCTCAAATTAAAAGATAAGCGGATCTTTCCGTTTAACGGGGGGAGGGGTTAGAGGCAAAACTCCTTTTTTTTGCCAGTAAATCCGTATGATTCTAAAGCTAAATAAAAGCGATGCTTCTAGAATTTTACGTAGTTTTAAGGTGTAGCTGGTTTGTAGAAATTCTAAAAATATTTTGGCCCAAATTGACCGGAAAAGTCAATCTGCAAATTTGTAAAATTTGCGCATTAATAGACGAATTCTAATGGTGACACCTCCATAACAAAAAAAAGAGCTAAGGGCGCATTCATGACGACTAGGGAAATCTCGCAATCCCGGCCTTATTAAACATTTAATGTTAGTTTTATCGGTTAACCATAGTCCGGTGATCTATAATAAATCCAGCATGATCCAAATTACAATAAATTTAGGTAATTGCTTACCCGCTCATCCCGGCGACGAGGTGCATTTTTGCGAAATATTTTCACGCAGGCCAAAAATGGGAAAAATAATAATATAGCGTTCCGGTAGGTGTTTCGTCGCTTCTGAATATGCTCAGCTCCCGAGAAAAAAAAGTAGATGAGTTTCTCGTCGAAAAAAGCCTTCTTAGGACCGAAATTCACAGCGAATTATGCGGAATATTGAATCGAGGGCGCTTCAGAATACGGCTGATCGGTCTAATCGATTTCCGCACGTTCCGGGCGTTCCGGAACAGCTTCCGCTTCAGCTTCTTCTTCCCCCTCCTTCTTCTGGGGGGTCGTTTCGAACCCGGGAATTCGCCAGAGGGGGGGGGCGGTGCGCGGACAATTAGAGGGCGGAAAAACGGAGCGACTGTCCGCTGAGCGGAGCGCGCGCGGCTCGTGCGGGGAATTAGCGCCTCCGGTTGATCCGAAGAGAGAGAGAGAGAGACAGAGAGAGAGAGAGGGAGCAACTGATGCAACCCTTTTTTGTGTGTGAAGCCCCACCCATATGCATTGCCCGCTATTTGCCATCCCGAGTTTAGGCAAATATCGGCCGGCGTGAGCGTAAAAAGGCGTCTTTTAGAAAGTGACCCCTAGCCAGTCATATAAAAATAGCAGGCACACGATTTCAAAAAAGAAAATCGATCGTGTGCTTCATTAATGCGCAAATTCCAGAAATCCGCAGCTCAGGCTTCGGCGTAGGCTTAGGCTTACAAGGAGACGTTTATGAGTGTCGTCGGGACTTTGGCACGGGACCAGGCCTATCTTGTGCAGAATTTTACGCTAATTCCGAATATGTTAACCGTTTTTGCGGAATAGCCATTTCTCGAAAGTTATGAACGATTTAAACCTCAAAACAGCTCAAAATCGACTACTTTCGATAGTCATAAAAGGCTTCGGAATAGGTTTTAGACAAAACTTTCAATGATTTTGGAAAAGATGGTACATTTCATAGAAAATTTTTTTCTGAACAAGATGTACTATCTGGTTTTGTCTAAAACGTATTTTGAAGCCTTTTATGACTATCGGAAGTAGCCGATTTTGGGCTGTTATGGGGTTTAAATCGTTCATAACTTTCGAGAAATGGCTATTCCGCAAAAACGGTTAACATATTCGGAATCAGCGTAAAATTCTGCACAAGATAGGTTTGGTCCCGTGCCAAAGTCCCGACGACAGTCAAAAACGTCTCCTTGTTAGGCTTAGGTATTAGGCTTAGCCTTAGGCTTAGGCTTGGGCTTAGTTTAGGCTTAGGCTTAGCCTCAAGCTTAGGCTTAGGCTTCGGGTAGGCCTAGGCTCGGGCTCGTCCTAGGGCTTTCGCTTACGAATAGCGTTAGTGCGCACCGTCTCGTGCTGATGAATCGTGATTTCCGAACATTGTAAAGGTGATCAATCACCATCAAAATCATGACAATGCCAACACGGGAACTGTCATCTGGTATCAAGCGCAACCCGCTAAAAATAAGCCCGGCGGTGAAAAGTGCTAATTCAACCCGCGAGGGCATTCTATTGATGCCTGATCCGAGGTGACAATCGCCGGGGCGTGTGCCCCCGGGGCATGAAAGTATCGGGTCGGAAAGTGAATTGAGTGAGTGTGCCCTGGGTGGGGGGCAGAAGTTGATGGGCAATTTGGAACGGGGCGTCGCCACGCGCGAACTGTATGAATTTCCGCGGGAACTGGTTTTTGGGCTTCAACACGATGAGCAGGAGTTTCAAGGGTTAGTGAAGGAAAACGAAGTGGGATCACTTGGCTCGCAGGCTAAGTTTGATTTCTGCAAAAAAAAACAATTTTTGTCATGGAAGCTTTCTAACAAAGCGTTTGGTGCTTTTGCATTATCGGGGGGCTGGAGGGAGGGATTTCTGTAGAAACCAAAAAAGCCCAGCAACATATTGGTAAGTCGCTTGATGATGTTTTTAATAAAATTTAACTATATTTAAATGGACTAAAATTTAGTAACATTTTTAACATTTTTAAAAACGGAAATTGTATTTGAAATGGGGTTCTTTGGATGGAAATAAATATTTTAATTGATTTTTCAAGGAAAAATTGCAACAGTTTCGCATTTTAGAATATTAAAGTTTGAAATTTTGAAAAACTGAAAAATACTGCTGAGTTTTATATAAAAGAACCTGGAAACTACGGGAAAAAAACGGGCTTTTAGGGCTTGGCAAGCCTGCAGAGCTCATTGCAGCATTTTTCTGACAATTTAAGATAATTAAATTTAACACTGACGCTAATGCCTAAATCCTGTTGCTCCAAAAAAATTAGCTCATGCTCTGCATATGCCTGGGGACCTGAAGCTAGGGGGGTGAAAACGGCTGAAGTGTGGCTAGTATAGAAGAAGAGGGAGGAGATGGTGGCGGCTCTCATAATCTGAAAGCCGTGCCCCGAAGGAGGCTCTCAAAAATCATCGACAAAATACACATACACACACTCATTCACACCAATAGATTCCCAGGGGTGAGAGGGCTTCTCCCGAACCGTTCGGAGGAGTGGAACGTTGTCCAGAGATCGCGAGAGAGAGAGAGGGAGAGAGCGAAAGAGAGACGCTATTCTTCCCATATTTTTGCTATTTTCGTACTTTTATTGTTTGTCCAGATGGCACTTTTGCATGATCGGGGGGTATCAGAGAGGAACTATTTTTTGTACGAGTCTAGAAATGCTTAGTAACGCCACTGTTCAGTATTTTAATACTTTTTAGGAAAAATTAAACTATCTGAAAGCAGAAAACTATCCAACAAATATAAAAACATTTGCTTTTTGCTTTCTTTTTTTTCGGAAGCGTACTACTAGGTCAATCCGGCCACGTTTCGGCTTAGAAAGAGCGACCAAAAAACCAGGGATAAGTTTCAGGGTGGAGCGAAAATCGGGTTCCTCGGCCTGCGAGGAGGATCAATGTTGAGCGGCGTCTTCGAGGGGGGATTTTGCTAGTGGCCAACCACCTGTACTCGAATGGCCTTGAACCGCTTGGGGAGGCAAAGTCAAGACACGGCCATTCACGCTGGGTATTCATAGATGGGGGGACATTATCGGAAATGTCGAAAGAAAGCCATGCGGGTGATGGCTGGAAAGAAAAGAGCGAAGAAAAACAAAGTGTATGCAGATTGAATATGGGTCGGGAATGCTGGGCCGGCTTTTTCAAAGGCAGTTGAGCCATTTTCAGGCAAATGACGATAATCGAAA